AAACACCGTTACCATTTGGTGGATTTGGCACGTTTATATTTCTTCCCTTCTTGTTTTTATCTCCCCCGGCAACTTTGACGAACCCTTTACAAAATTGGGCAATGTTTAACACTATGCTGATAACTGCCTATTACAGTTGTGATTATCACAGATACTATTGCCACTTCTGAAATATAAAAAAAAATTTCAAATTACAAAAAATTTTTCCCTTCAGAAATTAATTTTCCTCCAATTATTTTTTTAATGCGCTGATACTGTCCGAACTACAAAGCATTAATTAAAAAACTGGGAAATACATGTTATTTGCATAACTCTTTCACAAACAGCTGGTAAATAACAACAAAAGAGCAAGGACCTATTTCAGATCAATACACATGCCTTCATTTCTATTCAACAAGATGTCTAAGTAGCAGTTAGCAATATATTGAATACAATTTATTGATCATATGATTATACAGACACATACAAAAACATATCAATTGATGTTTAACCCATTACTTCATATACACGCCTTTTAACGCCTTTTTCACCCCCCCCTCCCTTTTTGTTGTCTCAAAAGAATGAAAAAAATGCCTTATTTTTAGGCAACCCACCCAAACTTGTTTTTGTTTGAGAAATGTTGTTAAAAAGTGACCTCTTTTTCGGCGCGGCCCCCCCCAACCAAAAGGATACATCAGGGGGTTGCCCAGAAGGGGGATGTGCCCCCTTCTTTTGGGGGGGGTTTGAAGGGGGGGCGGAGTCCCCTCATTGGGCCAAGAAAATTTTGGATCTGTGAGAGGCTGTAAATGACCCCAGATTGATCATAACGGTAACGTGTAACCAACGCTGAAAGCCATTTGACTCTATTCAATCCATTGAGAAGTTGCAGCATTTGAAATCAATTTTGATGGAAAAAATCAACGCAAAATAGTGATTTTTTTGGCCCAATTTTGAGATGTCCCCTCGTTGCCATGGGTAACAGAAAATTTAAGCCTGAGCAGTTTGTTGCCCAAGGGAATGGTCCAAGTCCAAATTTGTGCCAAGTTTGATTAGTGTTGAAAAGCAAGTTTTTATAGTATTTATAGAATTTGAAATTGTAACGGGAAATTTTCAAATTGAAAAAAGCCCCATTTTCCAAAATTGCCTCATGAAGCAATTTGGGTTAATGAAAAAAATAAAAAAAATTACAAAAAACAAAATTTTTCTTTTCAAATTTTATGACAAGACCATGTTTTTAAACATGGAAAAAACGCGATTTTAAGGGTAATTTTTAAGTATTTTCATCATTTTCTTGTTAACCCCCATTTACTTCATTACAGCCGGTTTTAAGCCTTTTCAACCACCCCCCCCCCCTTTTTGTTGCTTCTCAAATGATTGAAAAAAATGCCTTATTTAGGCCCCAAACCTTGTTTTTTGTTTGAGAAAAATGTTGTTAAAAAAACGTGACCTCTTTTTCGGGCGGCCCCCCCAAACCAAAAAGATAAAAGGGGGGGGCCCGAAAAGGGGGGTTTTGCCCCCTTTTGTTTGGGGGGGGTTTGAAGGGGGGCGGGGGTTCCCCCCCCTTAGCCAAAAAAAATTTTTGGGCTTGTGAGAGGCTGGTAAATGACCCCCGATTGTATTTGGAAAGTGTAACCCCAAAACTGAAAACATTTGACTTTTATTCAATCCCTTGAGAAGTTGGGAACCTTGAAATCAAATTTTTAGGAAAAAAAAACGCAAAAAAGTGATTTTTGGCAATTTTTTTGGGTGGGCCCCCTTGCCATCGTAAAAGAAAAATTTTAAACCGGGGCATGTTGTTGCAAGGGCCCAATTTGGGCCAGTCAAATTTTTTGCCCGTTTTTATTAGTGGGGTTTTAAGCAGTTTTTATATATTATGGGAATTTGGGAAATTGTAAGGGGAAAATTTTAATGAAAAGGGATTTTTTAAAAAATGCTCATGAAAAAGCACATGGGTAAATGAAAAAATTAAAAAAAATCTACCAAAACAAACATTTTTTCTTTCAATTTATATGACAGACAACATGAAAAAAAGCGATTTTAAGGTAATTTCAAGTATTTTCATCATTTTTCTGTTAAAACCCATTACTTCATATACACGCCTGCCTTTTAACTGGCCTTTTTTCAAGCCCCCCCTTTTTGTTGTCTCAAATGATGAAAAAATGCCTCTTATTTAGGCCCCCAAACACTTGTTTTTGTTTGAGAAATGTTGGGTTAAAAAAAGTGACCTCTTTTCGGCGCGGCCCCCCAAAAAGATACATCAGGGGGTTGCCAGAAGGGGATGGTGCCCCCTTCTGTTTGGGGGGGGTTTGGGAAGGGGGGGGGTCCCCCCCTCAATTGCCAAGAAAATTTTGGACTTGTGAGAGGCTGTAAAATGAACCCCAGATTGATTATAAGGTAAACGTGTAACCAAACGCTTGAAAAGCATTTGACTCTATCTCAATCCATTGAGAAGTTGCCAGCACTTTTGAAATAATTTTGATGGAAAAATCAAACGCAAAATAGTGATTTTTTGGCAATTTTGAGATGTTTTCCCCTTTTGTTGCCATGGTAACAGAAAATTTAAGCCCTGAGCATGTTGTTGCAAGGGCAATGGTCCAGTCAACATTTGTGGCCAAGTTTGATTAGTGTTGAAGCAGTTTTTTATAGTTATTATAGCAATTTGAAACTTGTAACGGGAAACTTTTCAAATGAAAACAGCCATTCACCAAATGCTCATGAAGCAATGGGTTATAAAGGCACAAATTATGCCTCAAAAATGATTTTTTTTTTTAAAATTCTAACAGAAAGGTAAACCATGTGTTGCTAATAATGTTTTGATAATGTATTTAAAAACATGTTAGATGTTTAAACTATTAAGGAAAGTCAGCACAGAACATGCAGAAATTTTGTCATGTAAGAAAAAGTTTTCCCAAAATCAAATTTTATTTTTAAAAAAATTCCCCTTTGTATAATGTAAAAAACCCTGAGCAAATGAAAATTTTTTTTTGAAATTTCCCCAAAAAAACTTTTTTAATAATTAAAACCCCAATTTCAAAGAAAGCCAAAAAAAATAATCTGTATGCCCCAAATGAGTAAAATTTTTGGGGAAAACTGGGAACAAAATTCTTAAAAAATTAAAAATGGGCAGCATTTTTAGCGACTTAATGAGCCTTTAAATTCAAGTTATTATAATAAGATTCTCTTACTGTTTTTGTTGCATCATTGCTAACTCCACCTCCCTTTTCTGCTCCAGATTCTTTACAAAACATGTACCAGCTGAAAAAATGACAAAACAAATCAATGTATGGCAAATTCATATTTAATTGTTCAGCCAAACAACTATCCTTTTGCTGAATAAGTATAACTGGTAATTATCAAGAAATCTCCAACCTGCTTTTTTATTGAGATAAAAAAATATAGTCTACAGAACCTGTGTAATGCCTGTGTATCTCCCTTAAGGAGATGAATATTTTGGTTGCTTTTTAGAGGTGTTGCTGTAAATAGGTTAAATTATTTGTTAAAGTCATTGTGGAAAATGAGTTGGTTGTTGTAAAGAGGTGATTGTTCTACAGAGGGCTACTCTGTGTAACAACTTCAAGGAAAAACTTAACTGTTTACAGAGAAACAGTGTTTATTAAGAAAATAGTATTACAAAATTACCAAAACTTAAACTGTTTTAAGGAAACAGTATAATGCAAGTATCAAAGGCCATTATAAAGTTAAAACAAAAACTAAAACTAAAATTCATTTAATGATTTTTTTTTTAATTTCTCTCCCAAATTGAGATCACGTAACAAGTGTTGTTTTATTTACTGCAGTACATTGACACAAAATGCCCCTTTTAACACATCTGCCAGATTTGTTTTCTCCAATACTGATATTGTTTGTAATATACTGTGTGTACATAGAAGAGACATAAATTATTAGAGTAAATAAATATACTTGCCAGGTCAAAAGGCACAAAATCAAAAGAAAATTATATTCAAATCTGTAAATTAAAAATTCTTCCAGAACAAACTTAAACTGAAACACAGATCAAATTTTGCATATTGAATGCTGGAAATTATTCTCTCATGATTTAAACCCATGAACCAACCAAACAAAGTGTATTTTAGTGTGACAAGAGCAGTGCATGCACTGTTAACACTTGCCTGTTAAAATAACCACTTCTGACAAAAATTCTAAGCTAAAAAGGGGCATAAGTCCAGATTTCAGAATTATCCCCCCTGTCTTAAAACAGCCACTTTGTCAAGATAAGCAAGTATTCAAAGTTTCATGTTAATTCCTTCAAAAATATTTTGAAAATGAAGCTACATGATTTTTGCATGATGACAATGAAACACAATAAATATGGGCAACAACAACAACATGCGCCCAATCATTAAAAATCAATTTTAAAAATTTGAAAAGACAAGGTAAAAAATTAATATATGTTTTAAGTCTTTACCCCAGGAAGTTATTAAAATTTCGTCTTCTGAGTATTGTGTAGTTACACGCCCTGGGTGACGGGATCACATAACGGCAGCTTTCCTCCCAATGGTACCACTCCTTATTGCATTTATGCCATAAAATTCCAGCTTACCACCTAGGAACAAAAAAATAAGGACATAATAAAATTCATATTGCAACATAGCAAGCTTACAATAATAACCAAAAATATTAAAAAAAATTTCCATTGGAAAGCTTAAATCAAAGGGCCCCCTATAGTGGGGGGGCCAATAATTTACTGCATAAGGGAATAAAATGGCAGAGAAAAAAAATTCTAAAAATTAAATTGCATTAATTGTATATTAAATTATTCAAGTTAATAAAGTATTTCTCAACTTTAGTTTTCCCCTAATATCTGATAATATATTCTTGGGTTTTAAAAGATTTCTTACAGGCCCCAATGAAGGGGGTTGTTTGCATTGTATAACAAAAATTGCTTTACGATATTGACAGGATTGTTTCCCCGAAATTATTCCCGGTTCCACAAAACATTCACCAGTGATTTGAATCAACACGTTTTGAGTTATTTCCACTGAACTGCTGCTCCGTTGGTTTTAAACCCCATCTTTACACGAGGAGGAACAGTTTTTACCATGGTAACCAGGTAAACAAATACACCCAACTGCTTGAAATCATAAAAATCATAAAATATATTTCTTTATTTAGTCTTTTATAAACATCATCACTTTCATGAAAATAAATTTAAAAAAACCCCCAATATTTCTGTGTGAAAAAAAATCAGGAAAAAAATATGTAAAACATGTGCATCTCGGATAAATGCTCTCTCAACAGGTACCGAGTTAATTGGACAATATAATATTAAAGTATCAAAGCAGAAGGGGTGGCCTAGTGATTAGAGTTTTTAACCTCTTGACATGGCATCATGGCTTCATGTTGTACTGCGACCAGGAGCACCTTTCCTAACATGGCTCCAGTACTTGTTAAATTTAGAAACCTACATATTCAAATGGTTCCAAGATAAGTTTAGATAATGGTTAAGCCTTTATTTGCTGGAACCGGATATGATTATATGACATCACCAGTACAGAGGCCAGGGCCAGGCTACACCTCCATATAGTCTGACCAGGCTATATACTGTCTGTAACTCAACTTTTATATTTTGATATTTCAACTCCTAAATCTTCAAAATTTGAGCCGCGCCATGACAAAACCGACATAGTGCGTTTGCGACCAGCATGGATCCGGACCAGCCTGCGCATATGCGCAATCTGAACAGGATCCGTGCTGTTCGCTTACAAACCCTGGAAGAGATACTGATAGTGAACAGTATGGATCCTGATCAGACTGCACGGATGTTCAGGCTGGTCTGGATTCATGCTGGTCGCAAACGAACTATGATGGTTTTGTCCTGACGCAGCTCAAGTGGACTGTTCCAAATTAAAAAACTGGGCAAATCCATTACACAAATACAGCAGGTTTAAGGTTTGAACAAAAGCGGATGGTTTATACATGTTTACATACCCTCAGCACAAACACCATGATTGCTGCAGTCCCCTGGACATTCTAATTTATCACAGTTAATTCCTTTCCAATAACCATGGCAACGGCATTCTCCTAACTCACACACACCATGTCCACTGCAATCTTTGGATAAACAATGCGGCTCGTGCACACATAATATCGTAGACACTTTTCTGGCACAATTGTATTTCCCACTATAAAGTACAAAATTCAAATCCTTATTATATGCACATGTATTTTTGTGCCAGAAATTTGAAGTTTATATCTAAAGAATATTTAAAGGCTTAAAGAACTCTACTGAGGTGTTTTGACATGACTAGTATTTAACCTACCCTCATGTAATATTCTCTATTTATTGTTAAAAATGACATAAAATGGAAAGTATTAAAATACTCAAATCACTCTTTACAAAAAAATTGCATTAAAGATCGATTTTGAACTTAGTTCCAAGTATACATGTATTTCTTTATTATGATTGATGTAAGATTTTCAAGTTTAATAACAGTAGCTAAATATAAACAAAGTGGTATTTTGACTTTCAAAAAAAAGAAAAAAAAACTAGGTCACTATAACTGTCCTTACTTTATGTCAATCTTTACGAGACTAACTTACCATTTATCAGAGGGATGGTTGACTAGAGTATTGTTCATGACGAGGGTTGATGATCCACCACCGTCCAGATTTATGGCGTTAACAGCACCAAGATCCTTCATCAGACCTGCAGCATCATACAAACTTGCCCTAAAATAAAACGGAAAGGATAATTATGTAGTTAAGAACGAGTTCAATTGTTACTGCTGAGTGCGCTCCAACCTTAATAACTTAATTTAAACCTCTCACAATTGCATCAGGAATTGCATTCTTTGGCTCAGTGGTATAGAGCGTTATAACTTTCAATAGTAAGCAGGAAATTGTGAGTTTGAATCCCAGTCATGGCGTGAACTAGGTACTAGTAAGATACAAACTTCAGCGATTAATCTTAATTAAAGGCTTGAGGTGGCATTTTGATCGAGAAAAGCTAAATACTTACCCAGCGACTCCCGTCTTCCCTTCGACCTGCATTATCATCACTCGGCCCTGTTTGTCATGACCGACCAGAGTTCTCGCAGAAATAACGGAGGCAAATGTCTGCAATGTGCCAGTCTCTTCTGTATCCCTACACTCACTGTTTATACTTTCATCTACGTGATTGTGGCCGTCTTTAAGAACCCAGATAACACCACCAACTAGTTGTAAAAAATCATCTTTAACTAGGTCAATCTCAGACAGATATCTGTAAAATATTTAGATGATTTCTTGTCAAATCACACTTACATGAAAACAAAAACTATATTCAATTCAATAAAAATTCTCTGAAAGTTCTTAAGTACAAAAGTGAATGTATTCCTAATGACTTTTATGCTTATCCAATTACCATAATTATCCTTTACATTTAGGTTTCATTTCACTCAGCACCCCCAATCCCCCTCCCCACCTGCCATCTAAGAAAGGTCCAGAAAATGGACTCATTTAAAATAGCAAAATGGTGTCCAAAAATTTATAACTTGCCTGTTATTGTGACATTTTTTTCTTTACAGCTTACAATATTATTCATTTACTTTCAATATTCAAAAGGTTCCATAGACTCAGTTCCCAAAAGAATGACACACAGTAAATGGCTTATCTTAACAATTGTAGAAATTGTGGACCGACCCTCAAACCTTCATATCTGTGCATTTCTAAATTTAGAGTCTGAAAGCACTGTGATAGATCATTACTATACACCCCCTGTATGCTATAAAAGTAAATCCCATTCAAATATTCCTTGTCTAAGAACATACTAATAATATTACCTACAGCAATAATATTATCTACAGTAGGCCAGTACACCTTAAATCTTATCAAGGGTTTGGTGAAAAATGATCGTACCAGTGATATAAGAACCATAATATAATCATGCTAAAACTTACCCAGTGAAAATTTCTCCCAATTTTGTTATACCAAAATGAGCATTCTGTAACCCCTCAGTATCTTGTACCAATCTACCATCGCTTACTATATTACCTAGTAAAACAAATATACCATTTCATTATGAAATGTACATGTATAATATACATTACTACATAAGCTACCAAACAGTTAACTTTAATATACATTTAGTACATGTTTCCTGGAGTTCATTCCGTATCTAACAAACCTAACAAACAAATGTTTCATCACATTTTAAAGCGTTTTATAGCCATATAATAAGTAATGAAGTAATTTTTTTGAAATTATTAAGATTTGATTGATATTTTCGTTCATTAGAATTAACAATGTCACACAACTATACTATATCACAAAATACTATGAAAAGAGAAGAAAGGAAGTTTCCCATTAAGAAAATTTACATGCAAAATGACAACACTCTAAAATGTTGGCTGACCCAACTTTAAATTTCCATCTTAATATCCCTAAAAATTGATAATAGGATAGTCCAGAAAGGGGAGCTGGATGAGTCCATTTAAGAAATTCAGCAAGAAAAAGGTTAAGGGTATTTTGCAGATTTTATAATGGACAGTTAAAATATAACATAGTTTAAAGGTCCATTACTCCTCAGTAATACTATTATTTTTATTCTTAAAAAGATTTTTTTTTTTGGTGTTCTGATAGTTTCCAGAAAGTTACCCAATTACCTGAACCATCTTTTGCTTCTGTTGCCTTTTGGCAATTAATACATTTATAGTGATTTAGTATTTTGAATTTAAGTCAAAATACTACTTTTTTTTCCATTCTGCTACTTGTCTGACAAAAAAGAAATAAAACATGTATTTAATCCTACTTTCTTTCAGGTGTTGAGCATCCTGCAATCTAAATTATCATTTTTAGACAAAAAAATTATTAATCGTTTCTGTTATTTTTTATACAATATATATATGTGTATACAAAATGCAAAGTTAGGCAGGGATAGCAGTTACTTTTATCCTGACCTATATTCAAATGAGCGAAAGGTCATCCATCCATGTGCAGTCCCTTTGATTGACAATTTAACATTTCCCACATGCCTTGAGACATAGACCTTCTAATTTTGATAATTCACTCAAATTTTATGACAATTAATTAAATAAAAATATTAAACAGTGCAGTATCGCACCAAAGTTCATGACTTACATAGTTCATGTATTACCTTAGGGCAAAAAATGTATTAATATTAAAACTGGACATAAAACTGGACATAAACATAATTAAATTTCAAAACTAAAATTTCAAAATTATTAATATGTTAAATTGTATTTGGGTAAAATGAAAGTGCATGTAAACATTTTCAAGTCAAAATGTTGGCAAATTTAAAGTTTTCATTTCTCAGTCCTATTAAACAAATTCACACCAGCAAAAGCTCTTCTGTAATTAATTAAGAGAAAAAAAAATAAATACGACTTTTGATACTGAAAAAATATATGTGACCATAATTATTAAAATTTTAATGAATACCAATAAAACCATGATATAGTAATATTTGATTTTCATTTAAAAAAATTAAACTGCAGTTGAATACTTCATTTCTGTAAAATTATAAGAGTTGGGAGTTCCTGTCAAAACTTTAAGCTTTCTACTAAATTCTTCTAGATTAAATTTAAATTTTGTGTACCAAATTATGAGGTTTGTTATGAAATGTCCAAGATAATTTGTATTACATTGTAATGGTAATAAAAATAGTATCAATTCATGCACAGATTGACTATGATCAAAATTATGACAGGCAGGGCTATGTGTGGTGGGTCTGTCTAAGGATTGCTACATGTATGTCTTAGAATTGACTATGATCCGTGTGGCTTCCAAGTCATGACTAAAACAGGATTTAAAACCAAAGCAAAAATAAAACAACGAGCATGGCAACAGTACTGGTAAATAAATTCTAGAAAACTGACAAAGGAGTCATCAAATAAGCTTCAAGTTTTCATTATAACTGATGTAAAATAAAAATAAGGTTAAACTAACCATAGCAAGCTCCGTTATGTGTGTTAAACAATCCTGCATTTGTTGCTACAAGACATCGTTTGCTTTCTGCTGTTACTTGTACTTTAGCTAAATTTATTGTTTTATCTCTGAGTTTGCACGTGCCCTCGTGTAGCGGCTCGTACACCGAGAAAGTCTTCATGGGGTTATGTATGTATGCTATATGTACTTTCACATTTCTGCCAAAAACAGTAACAGTTAATTGCTGAGAATCAACAATTGGTAATGTCAGTTTATCCGAAACTCCTTTCCCATCTTTATCCTCAGTCCCATGTGCGGGATATGTTTGACTATCTAAGTGACCGTAGGCGACATGTGAGCAGTCCCTCTTTACACGTATGCCGCCGTCAACTTTATAGGGGTATTCTAACACGACGTCCGATGGATCAATCTGGTTTAAATCCTCCACCACTTCTGCCCTTAAATCACTTGCCAAACTAATCACGTTACTGGAACAAACACAAAGAATAAAGAATAAAATCATCATTAAACATCCCAAGTTATTTAAAATGTTAACGAGTTAAATACAAATCTCGACAGTCAACTCTCTATGGCTGTCACATGTTTTATGTCCAATATTCTCATACTCAAATGATCCAACTTGACATATGTATCCATGACCGGTTTACAGGTTAACAACATTGTAAGTTATAGTCAAATAAATATACAAATATACATAATTATGTATTTAGTTATTTTAAAATGAAGAAAATTTAAATTGCATGGAATAAAATCAATAAAAAGCTTAATAATAATTGTAATGAAATATATTCAATTAACAACAAGCAGAATGTATTTCATTGATATTGCCCCACCATATTAATTGAAGCTTCTATTTACATATGTGTATTTGACAGAATTTGTAATTGTATTGTATTTGTTGTCTGTTTCAAGCAGAATAACTGTTACATTATATTTTATTATTTTAATTTTTTTAAAATACATTATTCCGACACCCTTTAAATATCAGTCATTGATTCACATTAACCCTTGTAACCCTGCTGTAACAGAAAGTGTCAGCCTTTGTCACCAGTATAGAGCCAAGCCAGCCTGTGTGACCTGGCTCTATACTGATGACTGACAAACTGTCATCTTGAAATCCCCAAAATTGATAATGGACAGTTCCACAAATGACAGCTGGACAAGTCAATTTAAGAAAATCAGCAGTAAACGGTTAAGAATGACAATTATATGATTCAAGTGAAGGGAAAAAGATTTATACTTATATTTTATGCTCTGCTTAATCTTACAACTTTTATATTTAAAGGCCCATTAAGCCTTAAATATACTTAAACTTTCATTTTTCAAATGTTGTGTACCTGATATAACTTTTTGTGACTCTTCCATTCTGGGAATTAGTTCAGTTATAGTGATATAGCATGTTGTATGGAAGTCTAAACACTACTTTGTTTACATTTTGCTACTTTTATGACAAATTATTATCACAATCAGCATTATTTTTTGTTAAGGTAATTAGCTTCTAACGAGTTCTAAATCTATCATTACAACATTATAACAAGCAATTATCATAGTATTGCAAGCAATCCATAAGTCCCCTACCGGTAAGAGCCAAAGCAACATTCTGAAGGGCTATTCACTTATGTTTCTATTTTAAGTAAATTTGTTGAAAAAGTTCTTTAAAAGTGATCACAGTGAACAGTTTTTATGTACAGACAGACAGACGGACTGAAGGACACTCTAAAGTTATTTTTTAAACATCCCTGTTATCAAAATATAACATTTTTAAAAGCAAAATTTTAAAAAAAGGAGATAACAATGTCATACATGATGTGAGTGTAACAAAGAACAATTAGTAATGAAGGTATGAATATTGAATGTTTATTTTGAATTTGAAATAAATGAAAGTTAAAAGAACGAATAGGAAAAATTAAAAGTTTAAGGAGGAGATAATTCTGGAAATATGGATGCTAGATTTATAAACCTTGTTATATTATTATGATGTGGGAGTTTGAAGAAAATCCTATCATGATTGAAGAAGTTGGAATAAAAATTACCAATTTCTCAAAAAAATGTCTAAGTTCAAAAGGGGCATAATTCTGGAAATAGTCTTGCTAGAGTATTGAACACTCACAAATGTTGAGTGATAATAAGAAACATTTATATGAAGTAGATACGTTCAGAAGAAAAAGAAGTTATTAAAAAAAACAATGTTTTTTTCATGAAAATTTTAAGTTCAAGGGAGGTAATTCTGATAAATTTTGTGTTAGAGTTGTAAACTTTGTCACATATGATGTGGTTGATGACTAGCAACTTATATTTAAAGTTTGAAGACAATACCTTAAGAAATAAAGAACTTATAGTGAAAAAAACTTAAAAACTAGAATAAAAAATCTTGATATTCAGTCAATTTGTTGCCATAGCAACCAGAATTTTCAATACAGGAAGATAAGAAAAGAATATGCATAATTTCCATACAGCCATCTACCCATATGTCAAGTTTCATAAAAATATTTTCAGTACTTTTTGCGTTATCGCTGGATCCAGGTTATGTGTAAAATTTGCCATATTTTCAGTCTATTTGTTGCCATAGCAACCAGAATTTTCAGCATAGGAAAGAAAGAAAAAGACGTGCATAATCTCCATACTACCATCTATCCATGTATCAAGTTTCATAAAAATATTTTCAGTATTTTTTGCAGTATCGCGGGATCCAGGTTATGTGTAAAATTTGCCATATTTTCAGTCTATTTGTTGCCATAGCAACCAGAATTTTCAACATAGGAAGAAAAGAAAAAGACGTGCATAATCTCCATACTGCCATCTATCCATATATCAAGTTTCATTTAAATATTTTCAGTACTTTTTGCGTTATCGCGGGATCCAGTTTTGTGGACGGACTGACGGACGGACAGACGGACGGACTGACGGAAGTTCTCACAGGACAGTAATTATGTGGCTACTCTATTGTTCTCTCTATTGTTCTTTTTAGCCACGCAAAAGAAAATAGCCACATAAAAGCATTACGGAATGAATGACATCAAAGAGAACCTATTGTCCCTCTAGCCACATAATTACTCTCCTGTGAGTGCGGACGGACGGACAGACGGACGGACAGACGGACGGAGGGTAAACCTAAAGTCCTCTCCGGTAAACCGGTAGGGGACTAAAAAGACATGTTTGCCCTTACTACATGAAGAAAATTTATTCATTGCTTAGGCTTAATGTGACTTTAACTCCCTTAAACAAATAATGACCAATCATTTCATATTCAAGACAAGTCCATTATTTCAAAGCGGCATGGTCAGGGTTTATAAAATTGGCAGGTAGTACATGCTGAATTTCTTAATGGACCTGTCCTCCTTCCATTTTTTTTTTTGTATGTGTTCATCATCAACTTTGGGGAGTATTGAAATGAAAATATGAAGCTGATTCCAGCAGGGTAAGTGTTATTGATTCCAGCAGGGTAAGTTTTATAAACACTGTAGATTCATTAATATGATGAAAATATTTAATATTTTTTGTTCCTTGATAGACAACTACATGTACATTTTATTACTGTTTAAGAACTTATAATATTACAAAGTTTAGACCTAATCACAACATAAATGTATAGTACATTTGAACTTCATATTACACAAATCTGTACTTAAGACCACCTCCCAATAAAGACCAACCTGTAAATAAAGACCACTCTTTGATAACCTTCATTGATAAAAATACAGCCAAGTAAACTTTGAATAAAGACTACTTGTCTATAAAGGCCATGCATGGTCTCTCCTTTGGATGGCCTTTATTCACACGTTTGACAGTATAAAGTGTACATACAATGTATACTATATTGATTATCCACATATCCCATATTTGTTAGTTGATACATTAACATTTTCTCGGGTCCTGAATAGAAGTCTATATAATGTATGTGTTAATATTATGTTGTACAGCACGCTTGTTCGAATATTATAATGTGAATTTGTATCAAGTGAATAGAACAGCTGTTAACTGGTTGATTGTTAACGTTGAAAAGTAAATCATTTTTATTCTAATGTAACAGAAAAACTGGAAAAACTTATGTTGCTATTGTTAAAGCAAATGTTAAGTATTTGCTTGTCAGAAAGAATAGAGATTTGCATGGCTGGAAGTTTGCATTACAATGTATTAGGTGTGTAATAGGAATGGGGGCGTTATTTTTTTTTACAAGAGTACAAAAAAATATTGGCAATAACATTTATCTGTAAGCTAAAGCCTTTATACTTATAGAAAAACTTGCCATCAAGTAAAGGGCTTCATATTGAGAGAATGATTGAGAAAATGAAATATCACCTTGACCTCTAAATGAACTTGATCTTCAGGAAACGGTAGAAACTTTATACTTTAAACAAAACTATTGAATGAGCACTTCTACTTCACACAAATAAACAATAACCCATATGACGAAAGGGGATTCTTAGAATTTCTATGAATATCCTTCAGAATTTTTCAGTAATATTTAATTGCTAAAAAGAATTGGGCAGTCTCTTTGATATTTTATGCAGTTTTATATTTTATCCTTAACATTTGTTATTATTAGTAATTTGGTCAATCACCATTATAATATCCATTTCAAACATTTACCTAATTCAGTTCAAATTAACAGTTGGGCAACAGCGCAAAAAAAATTAGCATTATGTCAATAACATTTTTTTTACACCAAAAGCTAGAATATGATGTAATTGATTAAAACAACAACATCTGTTGTCAGTATCCAATGTAAAAACAGCCTTAAGAAATCTGTTGATGGTGTTTTAAACATGTATAAATAACACCAGGTCAATCTTAGTTAGAATCTAATCAAATGGACATAAAAGAAAATGAACAAAACAGTAAACATATGTGACATCTGTTTTAACAATAAGAGACCATTGAAGGAGACACTGAGGTCCTATCTAGAAATGAATGTCAAAAAAGTTGAATAATACTTCAGCCAATGTTTGAGGATGTGTGAGACACTATGTTTTTTATTAGTGGGTTATTATGCACCTTTCTTTCATGCCTCAACATCGAGATGCATTTAAAGCATGAGTTTGCAGGGAGCGGGATTTAATATATAGGTTTGCGGGCTTCAGCCAAATCAGGGTTGACGATAAAAGTGCAGTTACTTACATGTATATGATATAAAAAGGGCTTTCAGTATCAAGAAGATAATTCACGAATAAGTGCATTAGTGCTATTCTTGCATATTGTATATGCATAATTTGGTGTTTGTACTTTTTGTTATCAGACTCTGTTGTTGTTGTTGTTTTTTTCTAAATAAACAAACCACTTTGTTATGCTTTCCCCATACTAGTGCGAAATCAATCAATAATAAAACTATTGGGTTCGTTTTTGCAGTAAGCTAGTTTTATATGGTCACAAATACAATGTATTAAAAAACATGCAATATGAAAAAAGTGTGCTCATGTGATTCTATTTGTTAATGCATGTTTTATACTCCCTTAATGTAAACTTGCTTGTAAATTATAGCTTCTCATTAGTCAATAAGATGAACTATCTTTTCTTCTGTTGCTTTTTTGGTTTTAGTGATTTATTATTAAGTGTCAGTCATCAAATTTAGAACTGGCCTGGTGGCCCATGGCCAGTGTAAATTAGTTCGGACCAGCTAGTGTAATTTAGTTAAATATATATATATAGTAGAATAAATTCAAAACTGGAATTCAGGCCAGTAAATTCATTGACTAAAGTATGGAAGTCAAAATACTACTTTGTTTACATTTTGCTACTTTTATGACAGATAATTTCACATTCAGTTCTATTTTCTTCAGGCTAACAAGCATGCTCTGAACCTTTATATAATTGTTATAACATTCATGTTTGCCTATTCTAAAGAAGTATGGAAGAACTTGTTTCTGAGGCATATTGTGAGGGATAATGTGCCTTTAAATATCAATAAAGAGAACATTATATTTCACATATACATGTATACACAAACATACATTTAATCTTATCATTTTATAATTTAATGTATGTATTCAGTGATTATTTTGAACTGGGGTGAATCATCTTTTAAGTAAGGCAAATTGTTATGGGGTGAATTGCCAGTGGATCGAGCAAATAGTTATCATTTTGACTGTTACCAGTATATTTGACAGTTACATGTAAACAGCAAAACAGCTGATTTCTGGAGGTTTAAAACAATAATAATTTAAGAGTTATTAAAAGTTTTTATAAGTATAGGAGCGAATCATGATCCAGCGGTCTTAGGACTTTTTGATTGATGATAATTATATTTAATGAGGGTTAAGACATCCACCAGTTAAGGCACAAAAAGCAGCTTTTGCTGTCGAGTAAGGACTCCTAATATGTCTTCAGTCTGTCCAGTTGTGCCCTTAAAGGCTTAATTTTTAAAGCCTGGAGTGGTAATAATTTACCTCCAAGAAATTTCCATGGAGTATAAGCCAAAGATATGAATTTTGAGACAAAAGGTCACTGTATGGCGGTCAATGAGAACCTAAATGTACAGTAATCCAAGACAATATGAAAAGGAGGGCCTGTTATGCCAGCTAAGGGCCTGCTTTTCAAGCTGTTACTTTCTGTGCTAGGGGCTCACGCACCTTAGCACACTTTCTTTGTACTCCCTGCCTACTTTGTAGGGCCCTTGGCTTTAGTCAGGATATTGGCAGCCAAATTGTAGGAAGCTTAACTCCCCAAAGACAAAGGGGTTGTTTGGTCTCCAGGACCTACCCTATATGTACAACAGTGCTTGGATCTTAACCAGTCAGTCAAGTATCCTTAATGATAAATCAGCCCAGCTCCAAACCTTCTGCTGATGTCCTGTGCCTTCTCTTCAACAAGCAAGGGGAAGAGAGAAGCAGTCTTATGACTAACGAATACCCGATACATTTTGCATTATTTTATTGTCAAGGCAAATATCCAAGTAATCATTTCAGCTCAAACAAAACTGAAAATTTGTCTTCATTAAAAATATACTATGCTCAAATTCAATATTAGAAAATATTGATAATTGCTACACAGTCTCTTTGTAAACATAAAATAAACATGTTTTGACTTCACACAAAGTAGATATGTAATGTTTAAAATTCTATACACTATAGGTTGTCACATTATATAAATATATAGATCTTTATTAAAAAAAATCAAGCAACTTTACTTGACCTGTATGTAATAGGGAACGCAGCTTCCCATACATAGGTTATTCATTATTTTATTTCCAAATTAGACATATTCAGTAAGAATTTCATACATTTCAATAATTTTTTATGATTAAAATATTTTACTCAAGAATGAGCATAGTATATCTTTAATAGCGAGCTCGACGAGCTGGCCCGAAGGGCCTGCTCGCAAAGCGAGCTTTACGGTAACGCGAGTACCTGCTAAGTGATGGTTTTGAAAACTTTCGTCCAAAGTACCGAATTGGACACATCGCAACTTTTCGAATTACAAGATAACGATAAAAGCCGATGTACTCTGATTGAAAACGGAAGCGTAGACTGGTATCCTGCGCACTTATATAGGAACCATAATAGAAAGGAGGAACCAGAATAAACGGAAGCAGTATATAAAATACCGAATGACAATTTTAAAACGGAAAATGTAAAATAAAAATGAACGATTGTTTTAAACTATCTTACGGTAAAAGAAAATGGAACTCACTTTGAGGCTTTGCCTTTTTCATATTTGTTAAACTGTCCTCTAAGGACCACTTTAGCTTCTGTTTTGAGTGTATTCTACAATAACTAGCAGAGATCTGCCAAGAATTTGGGTCTGAAAATAATGGGCCATTTAATAAAAAAAACATGGGCCATAGGTAAATAAAAAAAACTTTGACCTAAATATTTGTATATTAGTATATTTACTAACTAATATAAACTTTGACCTAAATGTTTGTATATTAGTACAGTCGAACTTCGTTCGCTCGAACTCGGAGGGCCTGTGAAAATTTGTTCGAGAGATCGGTAGTTCGAGCCAACCGAGGTTGAACTATTATTACGTTGATCAAATGCCTAAAGGTTTTCCTAGCTTTCATCGGTCGAATGATAAATGCGTCACTATAATTGTTTGTTAGTACATCTGTTTGCCGAATATTCAACATGTTTCATATTCAGAATTATTATCCCAGTGTTTTATAGTATCAACGGTACGCTGTGTTAATCTATATTCATGCATATAGTAATTGGTTGAGTTCGATTGGGCAATCACACCAAACTTGTTGAACAATGTTCAAAATATATTTATATGTTTATAATGGGATGAATTCAATTAAAAAAAATAAATGAATGAAATATTTATTAAAAACATTTACAGCAGCATCTATTTATAGTCATTTACTGAAATAAACACACATACAAGTATCATTCTATAAATAGATAACACTGTTACGATTCACTTTACATGAACCACGGTTGTAATTAAAGCCGTCCGGGTAAACGTCATTCTTTATTTGCATGCATATTTCACTTATTTCACAAGCTGTTTTCTTTTATCGTTACCCATAAACGACAAATCAACATATTGTCATAACAAACAAATCGATTACAAACACCTCTTATTTGTTATAACCTTTTTCACGATCACGAGTGGTTAAAAACATGTGTCGCCGACTGTCATACCGACCTGTCTTTTTGTGTTCGAGCGAAAAGGTGTGATTTTCACTTTATTTCTGCCGAAGGGACCAGAGATCAGGTTCGAGAGTTCGAGCGATCGGTGTTCGAGCGATCCGAGGTAGAACAATATAAATTATATAGGAATTTTGCCGGGACTGGGCGATGAGTTCGAGCGAAGGGAGGTATTCGAGCGATCCGAGTTCGAGCGAACGAAGTTTAACTGTATATTTACTAACTATTAAAAGGAAATAGTGAGACCATTAATTAATATATAGAAATAGTGCTCATAAAAAAATTGTTTGTACTCAAGTACAGACTACAATAACAGAGACCAACTTGATTTTTTTTTTGTTTCAATTTCTGAATAGACAATACTCATGAAGAACATTTAAAAGATCATGAATGTTTAAAATTACAACTGCATTTTCTAATAAGAACATTTACTGCACATTTCATTTCATGACATTTGCAGAATTTATCGGCTTATTGATAATTGTGTAATAGATGACCAAATTTACTTTATATAAGTACTATATTTCTATTTAATTCTGATATCTTAATTTCCATTATGCTAGTACTGATACTTTACAATCACTTTTGAAACACTATACGATCACTTTTGAAACACTATACGATCACTTTTCTTGTTTAAAGTTAGGCAATATTATTACGCTGCTAAACAATAAGTATTTGGAATCATTTGGCACTTTTGCCAACTTAAATTTATCCCATTCTGTATGTTAATTGCTATTAACAAGTGTCCTGTTAATTAACATGTTTATGACGTCACTTTATGACGTCAAACTTGAACAAACACTTGGACGTGAAGGTTTGACGTCATAAAATACCAGAAGCGCTCTGACCACCATTGCGGTAAGCCGTCGTTTTCATTTCTCGGAAGTTTTCCGATTTTCTTTTATTTCCCCTACCTTATTTATTTTATATGCATGTTAATTATGAAATATAATGGCTTAAATATTTAATACAATTCATAAAACTTACATTTGCCTTTATTCTCATTTCTTTTGTTTAATTTACACAAACGGTCCTGTGATATCGAACCGAAAGACTGTTCCCCATTTACAATTGAATTGATTGCAAATTTATAGGGAGGTGTTGAAAAATTATTTTTGTCAATTAACAGATTAACAGCTCAAGTGCCTTTGATTGAAAATAATTTGTAACTGTTTTTCGGATTGATGATTCAACGTCATGTTATCGTAAAGAAGGATTTGCGGCAAGAAGAAGGATTTGCGACATCAATATAAAACCTGTCACTGTTTGTACCAGTTTTGACTGGATGACTAAATAACCTAACCAGTAACCGATGGACCTTTTCATTTTATAGTGCAAATGTCGCAAAATTGCGTCCTTGGCAAATTCTGACTAGATACATATACCTACATGTAACTTCCTATTATTTGAAGCTTGTGATTAGATCTCCACTTTTTGTTTCAGTCAAATCTTTAGGTAGATCTACAAAATTATGATAATGAATGAAATAAACAAAAATTTCTCACCTTAAACTTAACAAAAGAAAATGGAATAACACTATCATATGCACATTCATGGCAAATTTGACGTTTTTCTTTAAAACTTTGCCACATTATTTACAAGCAGAATGTCATTTCCTGTTGCTCTTCATTTTGGAGAATTTCAGGGATAAGTTCATAACATTGTTTATTTTGGGAACAATTTAAATCAGTTTCAAGATATTTACTTTAAAAAATTTAGAATTATTTATCGGGAAAATTATATGCTTTATAATTTTTTGGGGATATTACGCAAAAAATTTTGGGAGAAAAACGGACGCTTTATTATTTGTAATATATAAATAATAACTCGTCCATAACCGGAAGCAATATGGTTGACAATGTGGTGAAATTTTTGGGAAGTATTCAGAAATACAATATTTTTACCTTATTCTAGGGCATTGGGATGTTTGCTGTTTTGTCCGACGTGTGCCAATGTTTTGGTTGTTGAAGAAGGGAACACAGTGCTATAGATTTGCCTGCCAGACATGCCTTATGTTCAAAATGTTTTCAAGAAAAAATATCGAACAGAAATATACAAAACTGAAGAAGTTGACGACGTGCTTGGTGGAGCCGCTGCCTGGGTAAAAAATGTTGATTTCTACTGAAGAGACATGTCCAAAATGTTCACATAATAGAGCTTTTTCATGCAAATACAGACTAGATCGGCTGATGAGCTATGACAAATTTTTACCAAATGTTGTAAATATGCAGTGTTCACATTCAAATGGAGAGACTAAATCGTCTACCATGGAAACTGTTTTAATAAATACAGACATTCACTGGTTTATAATATTTTGTGTTTAAGAGAAGATAACAGGGAATCCAAGGAATTCAACAATACAATCTTATAATCCAGTTATATAAATCAAATGTAAAGAGGAGAAAACTTGTGCCACAAGTGTGACTTATATCAAATCTTTTTGCTTACATAGTTGCAATGTTTCATAGAAATTTGTCAGAGTACATTATTATTAATTATCCTGTTACTACCTCTGTTTCTTTGTTGAATTAATTACTGCATTTTCTTATTTTCTATAACACCACTCACTTGTGTGAATTGATAAGAATATTATTAAATATGAGTGAAATGATTATTGCATCTTTTTGTTGATTTGATTTTAACTAAATAATAACCTTCATTAACAACAGTACAGTAATTGCAGTAAAGGCATCATTATTAAGTTATTATGTTTTATTTCTAAGCGTCAGATTTTGCCAGTAAATTCATCTATTACATCACAATCCATGTTTTTCTCAGCAATGGTGTATTGCAAGATATTATCCATTATTGTTAAATTTCAAACAGTACAATTTATTATTATACAAAATGACGAAAATAATACTAGTAGCTCTTTTAAATGAGATACCATGCATGTTATAAGTTTAAAGAATCATTGATTGATTAACAATAAATGAAGTTTTGTAACATAAGTACATTTTGTAACTCTATATATTTAAATGCTGTAACAAGGCTTGAGGCTGGATTATACAATATGTTGTGCTGTTAGTGTATTGATTTATTCTTGCAATAAAGCTAATACATAGTTTTGCTGGTGTTTTATAACTCACTGTCATTGCAATACAGTATTTTTAATTGCATTTTTTTTTTTAATATCAATGTCAGTGTCAGTACAAATTGCAGAACATCCTTAGGGATTGAACTATTTTGATGCTGCGAGATGATGCTCTTGAGATGTTAATATTAATTAAGATGCTAATTTTGGAAAACTTGAAACTGTTGTTGTAAGCAGGTAATTGCTCTACAAAAAACCAAAGGTTGCAATGCAGTACCATTCAGGGCATTTTTAGCTTGACTATACGAAGTATATGTAGAGCTGTCCTACTGGTCCCGGCATCCACATCCAGATTTCAGATAAAAGTTTTGGTGTAGGTAAACTAAACTATTTTTCACTATAACTTTTTCATTTCTTAAGGTATCAACTTCAAACTTCAAATATATGTTCCTTATCATCAACCACATCTTATGTGACAAGGTTCATGACTCTAGCACCAATATTTTCAGATTTATCTCCCCTTGAACTTAGAATTTTCCTTAAAAAATATTAATTTTACTGTTACTTCTTTATTTCTTAAGCAATCAATCATACTTCAAATATATGTTCTTTATTATCAACCACATCTTATGTGACAAGGTTCATAACTCTAGCACCAATAATTTCAGATTTATCTCCCCTTGAACTTAGAATTTTCCTTATCTTGAAAAAAGTGACAGGTGACATGATTATACACATGTTAAAAAAGTTACAATTCATGTAATAATTATGTAGTTTTTCAAGTTTTTAAAAAAATTCCAAAATCTCAAAAACATTTCCCAATTTATGCAAGGGGTATTTTGCCATAATAGCTGGAAAGGCCATGCTATATAGAAACCTCTAATTGTATAAAAATATCTGGAAAAAGTGTGATCCCTCGGAAGCATTTATTGCAACAAAATTACATGGAAATTGCAGACTCAGTTTGATTGAGTCTGTATATGAGGGAAAATGAAAAAGTGCAAAATCCCTCACATCCCCTAGCACAGGCTTGAGCGGTGCTCAATTTTCAACACTTAAAAGTGTTGGAATCAATGATTCCAAAGGACCAGGAAAATATAACAATATTTCCTGACCATTTCAATTCATTGCCCCTTAGTAGAGAGGTGATTTGTTTTAAAATGTATTTAGTGCTTCCAATAGTTTCAAGCTTAACATACATGTACCAATCAAAGCAAGGTCTTTAACCTATCAATTTATAACTGTGACATCCAATAGCAACCATCTGTACACTCTTTTAACCAAATAAATTCCAGATGCTTACAGCACTTATCATAGATGATACAAATCGTTAGAAACTTATTTAAAATGGCAAATATGTTCAATGCCAAAAATATTAACTTGTGATTAATTACTACATAAAATGCAGCTACATGGACCCATTCAACTAATTTTGTATAGAATGGCTGATGAAAAAGAAAATATTTGGAGGAAGAAAAACTTTATTGTTTATTTACTTCATGATAATGTATCATTGTATCTTTTTTAGCTCGACTTTTTTTTTTTTTTTGAAAAAAAAAGTAGAGGTATTGTTATAGTCAGGTCGGCGTTGCCTTTGCCTTTGCCGTTGCCGTCCGAAAACTTGTACCTGGATCATAACTTTTTTATTTCTTGGTGTATTGTCTTCATACTTGGCCACAACAACCCTTGGGACAAGACCTTTCAGTAGACCACACTAACCTTGACCTTCATCCATAAATGACCTTGACCTTCAAGGTTAAAAGTCCAATTTTTTGCTTGTTCATGCTGTTATTGGCTGTTTACTTTGTTATTTTTGAATGGATTGTCTTCAAACTTGAACATAATAATCTTCAAGGATATCCCTTAAAAATAACCAGTCAGACCTTGACCTTCACTCATCAATGACCTTGACTTTGAAGGTCAAATTATTTGAAAATTTTTCATTTTTTTGGTTATTATATTGGCTGAAACTTTGTTATTTTTGAATGGATTGTCTTCAAACTTGAACATAATAATCTTCAAAGATAACTGTTAAAAATATACCGAAAGACCTTGACCTTCACTCATTAATGACATTGCCTTTGGAAGGTCAAAATTATTGAAAATTTTCATTGTTTGGCAGTAACTGACTGTAACTTTGCTATTTTTGAAGGGAATAAACTTCATATTATAACAGAACATTCTTAAGGACCAGACCTTGTTGTTTATCAAACCCAAATTTGCTTGGGCTCTTTAATGACCTTGACCTTGAAGGTTATATTACTGAATTTTCTCAGATTGTGCATTTATTGGTGTGTGTGTATGTATAGTATATGTATTAATAAATATATATATATATATATATAAATGTGTGTGTGTATATATATATATATATATATATATATATATATATATATATATATATATATATCAAATATATGTATATACATTTATATACATGTGTATATATATATATTTTTTTTTTTTTTTTTTTTTTTTTGAATATATATATGCATATATATATGTATATATATATATATATATATATATATATATATATATATATATATATAATATATGCATGTATATATATACACACACCACATATATATATATTTATATATATATATATATATATATATAATTGCGTTCATTTTTTTTCTATTTTTAGAAATTGCGTATTTTTTCTATTTTTAGAATTGCGTCATTGTTGCTATTTTTAGAAATTGTCATTTTTTTTCTATTTTTTAGAAATTGCGTCATTGTTGCTATTTTTAGAAATTGCGTCAATTTTTTCTATTTTTAGAAATTGCGTCATTTTTTTCTATTTTTAGAAATTGCGTCATTGTTGCTATTTTTAGAAATTGCGTCATTTTTTTTCTATTTTTAGAAATTGCGTCATTTTTTTCTATTTTTAGAAATTGCGTCATTTTTTTCTATTTTTAGAAATTGCGTCATGTTGCTATTTTAAGAAATTGCGTACTGTTGCTATTTTTAGAAATATGCTTAATGTTTCTATTCATATATATACAAAATATATAAACAAAACTAATGTGACAAGACGGACCAACTAAATTTATAAAAAGGAAACGTCAATATATGTTCAAACCTTTCTATGTTTGCGTTTAGAAAAAGTAAAAAGTCGAGCGTTGCCCCCGCCCGGCGGTGGCTCTTGTTATATATACATATAATATACATCAAAATAATAATACACACACAAAAAACAATATAAATATAAAGTTTTATTTATAAGTTACAACATTGAAATGGACTGTAATATATTTATTATTGCACATATTAATTGGTACATGAATGGTTTTAATTATTGAGTACATATTTAGCAAGTGCTATCAGTGCTTGTAATGTCTCTTTTCCACTTGGTATAATTTGATCATCTGGAAGTAAGAAGCCGTATTTCCCTGTATCTCTAAGCTCAACACCATACGCAAATTTTGCTCCTAGTTTCCCATATACCCAATCTGCACTGCTGCCACTTGCTACGTCTATGAGAAAAAGAGATTAAGCATTAACACTTAAAGGCACACTTATGCCTCAGGCACAAATAAATTTTTTAATCTTTAGAAGGGTCCAATATGAATTTTATTATATTTAAAATTTAAATATTAGATTCAGAGCATGTTAGATGCATTGAGTCATAATAATTAATGTTGTTATTTACTTCTTTTTTTGTAACGTAAAATATGCTAGTGGCATTGGTTCCCTTTAGCTTATCACCTGAAGAAAGTAGCACTGCATAAAAAATTATTTGTCATAAAAGTTGCGAAATGTAAACAAAGTAGTATTTTCACTTCCATACAAAAACAAGGTAGTATTTTCACTTCCATTTTCACTTCCATACAAACTAGTAAGTTACTATAACTGAATTAATTTCCCAAAAGGAATAAAAGTGAAACATGGTTCTAGTAATTGGCCAAAATATATCTTTTATGAAACTAAAACAGGACATCAAAAATGAAAACCTTTTCAGAAAGAAAAATAAAAGCATTTCTGGGGCATAATGGACCTTTAACTTGCTAATCTTGATACACAGAAACAGAAAAAAATATTGTGTCGTTTTTCAAGGTAGTGTTTTACAGTAAGTAAACTTTCACTATCATTAACATGTGCTTTAGGGTAAGTTTTCATGGTTTCTAAAAGTTCAGTTTCTGTGGTTCTAAAAGTACTTGCATAGTTTCTTGATATACATGTAATTCAGTGGTAGGATTTTCAAATAAAGTTCAGTTGCAGTATGCTGGGTTTATAAATACATGAATAGGCTTTATATAAACTTTATTAAGAGATAGTTTTTAAACACAGGTTTACCTGTCCATGTTTAATAACTTACATATAATATCAGAAATGGTACCATGTTCATATTTTGTACCATAAACCTTTTCTAGTGCATCAACAGCCATAGCAGACCCTTCATCCTGAAAATAAAGGGAGATAAAACTAGAATTCCTGAAATAAAGGGAGATAAATCTTGAATGAAATTGAAAGGAACATGAAGAACATCACTTCTAATAATTTATATTTTGATCTCTTCAATGCTTTAATATGCACAGATTCCTTCATGACCCTATTTTTGTATTCAAATAAGTGGATTACAATAAAATTTTAATCACAATGAATTTGTTAACAAAAGAGAACATGTCAATATTTGGTGGTTAAATATATTGTGATGAAATAAGATAAGATCTGTCAAACCCATGCCCCCTGCCTACTCTTTGCCCCCACACGGCCCCCCCCCCAGACAAACAATTTTATCCAATCAATTTTCCCACTAAAATACATGTATTTCAAAAAGTCATATTTTTATCCATTGTATTTTAAATCATACATGCAGATGTAGTTTTAAATTAAATGGTCACTGTTTCAGACTATAAAATCGTAATTTTAAATTAGATGTGTATTGTCAGAATATCAAATCATATTGAGAAACAAAACAAACAAAAAAATTGCAGTAGACTAGGATTCCATAACTTCTGACTTGTCTACTTAAAGATGCCGTTGTCATGGTCACATTACTTACTTGTAGTTTGAAGTCCTCTGGGCGCTTCTTGGTATAACCCCATGGCGACATCCATAGCTGGGAGTAACTATGGAAATCTATGAATCCTTTCAGATTTTCGATTTTACTGAGAAAGTCGGCAACCCCCTTTACTTCAACTTCAGAGAAAGCTTTTGGTCCACAGTATGTGTCTGAACACGGATCTTTACTTGCACCTTCCTCTGTAATAATACGTTCATAATATAGTACTCGAAGACGGGAAAGGCATGTTATTAAAATTGACTTTCAGTAACTCAAACTCGCTTATCTCGAAATTCCGCGTAAGTCGAAAAAATGTTAATGTCCCGTCAAAATTCTTTCTTTATCTATAAACATTGTACTTGTATATATGTAAAATCTTTCAAAGGAAGTACCACAAGTCACGTTTTCATTTCATTTTATCGCACTTTTAACCATGGTGTTACAGAAGCTGCGAAACGGTACTTTAAAGATTTTTGGTTCAATTAAAAGTCCCGTCAGGCTACACCATTTTTTTACCGTATGCAAACGATACATGTATCTTGAATGTACATTTGTATTTACATGTATATTGAATAACCAAAACTTAATTGTTTTTAGGAAACATTATCTAAAGTAAACTGCCCAGTAACAACGAAAAACAACTACTACTACAACAACAAAAACTGCAGAAGAGCCAATGGCTTGACAAGTTTCAAACATAATGTCATGACTTACTACACCACTCCAGATCCCAGTTCCTGTTTGGGTCAACACCACGACAGATACCTTGCTTTGATCTAGTCTTTCTCCACATGCGTGTCTGTTATTACAATGCAAAGAAAGAATTATTACCGCCTATTATTAAAAGAGTTTCACATTTTTAAAATAAAGTAAAATTAAGATCAACTATTCTGTAGTAAGCGTGATACAATGTTCGTGTTGTTTTTATACTAGTCTTTATATACTAACTAGTATTCACCCTATTTCCGAGTTTTAATATGTTGTTTACATAATTTTACATACATATATTCGAACCATACATTCGTAATTTGAGCTTTTTTTGGCTTTTATCGTCTTAGCTGTCACCATGTGACTTGAAAACTTTAAAGTTAACAATTTTAAGTTTTCGATGAAATATATAGAGATTTGGACCAGAATGTCAAGAAGCGAGCTTAGAACCATTTCCACATCTTAATTACTAGCTGGCACGTACCCATCGGAATTCGGTCATAGGACCGCAGACTGTGGCGCATCTTCCCGATCCTGTACATACTATACCTACATGTATAATTATAACATTCTTCTCAAAGGGGTACGGCTCATTGAATGTTCACAAAATATGTATTTGATGGTAGAAAACATTTATCCTAAGTCAGAAATGAATTCTAAGTCCATTCCCATTATACTATATACTAATATATAGACAAGGGTAACAACTCCCATAAGAAGGTGTCTATGCCCAATCAGGGTTTTTGCCTCGCAGTTTTTTACACGATACAGCATAAATAAAAAGGAATTATGCTATTTGTAGTCGAATGATTTATCTATCGAACCAATGTAAAACTTTTCTTATATCTCTTATATTTAACGAGTACTGGCCGTCAAAGTAACAAAAAACTGTTCATTTTCGCGAGGTCGACATCGATCGTGGCTACGCAGGAAACACAAAGTTACACGACTGTTGCAATCGTTGGAGATAATATCACAAGCATTTATCATGCTGGGCAATTAAAAATACATAAAAGTAATCAAAATATACCAATAACCTATAATGACAATATGATATAAACTCACCTGCGGCTTCAAAATATTTCCCCGTTGAAATTTCTATAAAACACCGCCATCTTGACGAATGTAAACAACCGTCATTTGATTGGTCGATTTATTTCCCGAAAATATACCCGTAAATTTCCGAAAAATACCGACCAATCAGATGACGGTTGTTTACATTCGTCAAGATGGCGGTGTTTTATAGAAATTTCAACGGGGAAATATTTTGAAGCCGCAGGTGAGTTTATATCACATTGTCATTATAGGTTATTGGTATATTTTGATTACTTTTATGTATTTTTAATTGCCCAGCATGATAAATGCTTGTGATATTATCTCCAACGATTGCAACAGTCGTGTAACTTTGTGTTTCCTGCGTAGCCACGATCGATGTCGACCTCGCGAAAATGAACAGTTTTTTGTTACTTTGACGGCCAGTACTCGTTAAATATAAGAGATATAAGAAAAGTTTTACATTGGTTCGATAGATAAATCATTCGACTACAAATAGCATAATTCCTTTTTATTTATGCTGTATCGTGTAAAAAACTGCGAGGCAAAAACCCTGATTGGGCATAGACACCTTCTTATGGGAGTTGTTACCCTTGTCTATATATTAGTATATAGTATAATGGGAATGGACTTAGAATTCTTTTCTGACTTAGGATAAATGTTTTCTACCATCAAATACATATTTTGTGAACATTCAATGAGCCGTACCCCTTTGATTCTTCTGGTCTTTGATAATCTTTTTAATACGCTTTTATCATTGACATGGTCTGCTTGTTTGACCTGGTAGATTTGGTATATTTTTTTAAATAGTATACCATTACGTGCCAAATTGAGATATAATTATGTAAAATGTTATCAAATACCGAAAAAAACATGATAAAATAACTTGTACAAAATCGTGAGATATTGTAATTTATTGCGGTCAAATGCTCTTACCCTATCATCAACAAACGTGTACTCGTACCCGTCTGGGTTGGTAACCGGAAGTATATACCAATCAAAACTGTCCACCATTTCCGTTACATCCGTATCAATCTTGTACCTATCAAGCATCTGAAAGATGAAGACAGTGCTAAAATGCACGGATACACTATGTCCTCGAAGACAGTGCTTAACTGACGGACAAACTTTGACCCGACATATATTTTACTTAAACAACATTGAAATTTCAAGAATTTTATGGGGAAGTTACGATTATAATTGCAACTAATTGACACTAAATATCTTAGTTAATAATCTTATTATCGTGCGAATATAAGAGTAGTTGATTTCCCTCTCAAAGTCTTATGGATACAAAAAAATGCCGAGCAACGGAGTCCGGAAGCCAGGAGCTATCTCTTTATGTTTTTTTTTAATCGAACTATGAACTAATTCAGAACTGGACAAGTTCATTTTACAAGTTTAGTCGTGTAAAGGTTCAACTTAAATTTTATGGTGGTTTATTTGTGTCATGTCGTATTTTTACTTCTCGGGTCACTTTGTCGTACTTTCGTCTGGCACCCCACAAAGCAAAAGGCGAAAATACGACAAAGTATTTTCACTTTGTGCCCCGCGGAGCGAAAGTATTAAAAATACGACAAATTGGTGACTGTCGTATTACCGTGTGTTCGCCTTGCACACCGCGGAGCGAAAGTGTATACGACAAAATGTTGATTTTGTCGAATTTTCGTGTTTTTGTTCGGCGCACCGCGAAGCGAAAATGCGACATGACAGAAATCAGACACCGTAAAATTCTGACTCATCACCTTTAAACATGCTGACTAAGGGTTGTTTAATAAAATCATGTAATATTTTACCTGTCCAGCCATGTAAATAACTGTAGCTGGGGAGATCCACTCACGTGCATGAATACCTCCTTCAATCCAGAACGCTGGTCTGTCCGCATTCTGTGGCTGTGTACTAATCTAAAATATGATTTGGATACATATTTTTCTGTATTTTTGTTCTGTTTTTCTTGCATATTTTTCGAAAACTACATTTAAAGACAAAATAATTTCTTTTATGCGCTTGTTTTTTAGGTATAAGAAACTGGATGTGCGACAACGTATATGTCAGTTTTGAAAGTTATGAGAGAAAGCTATTCAAAAACCTTTTGATGAATAACATCTTTGAATTAAAAGACAGTACAAAATGTACACATTAAACGGAAATCCTTTACCAGAGGTCAACAATTTTATTCAATAAAATGAGCGAATAAGTTAAAAAATTTACATATTTTGTGATAACATTCCACATAATGGACAAAACCATTTTCCTTTTACTTGTACTACAAACTGGCCTTTGTGTAGAGGTGGCCTTTTTGGAGAATTTTACTGTCTTATTTATAATAGATCATATACCTTTATTCCAACCATTTCTCTCCCCTCATAAGACTTTGTTACGTTAAACAAGGTGGCCCGGTCTTTGTACACATTTGTTATATTCTGCATCCAGTCATAAATCTAACGAAATAAACAAATGAAAACATAATATTGTTTCATTATTATTGTAATATATAAGAAAAGATTGTCCTTTACTAAGGGCGCTCACTGAACTATTCATATACAATGTAGATATCCAGGCAGAATGAAAACTTTTTAAAACTTTGCATGAATAGGTTAACAGAAATTATTAAAGCGCACTTCTTTTGATGTGTCAGTTCTTAAATTTGAATTTTCAGACCCAGTGAGATTCTATAATGTGATTTGACAGAAACCGTCTGATCGCCGACAAATTCTATGTCACAGACAATAAAAAACAAGAACGTTTTTCCTTTTCTTTTCATACACGAATGCACGTGCGATAACTGAAAAATTATGTATATTTATACTTACATCGTCTAACCTGTGGTATTTTGTGTAGTCAAATTCGTTGGCTTTGGACTCTCTAATATTTCTGTAGGCCTTTTGTTCATCAATTATTTGCTGAACATTCTCAATCATGATTTTAACGGACATGTCTTGTTCCAGCAGATAATTTGTGACGTCATCATATTCAAACGGTGACAGACGAATATCTACGGAATTGTTAACGCTTGATGGGGCACGCCATACGTCCAAGTGCTGCAAATAAAAGTCATATGAAAAAAGTTACTACCATAAACATGTGACTAAATATACTTAAGATATAATAGGTGACAGTACTCCGGAGGTGACAAGATTTTGTTAGTCCTTGTCTTTAAAAAGTGGAATGTTTGTCTTAAGCATGCGTAATGCATAATCTGATTCCCCAACCCCACCTCAAAGTATTTGAAAACAAGGAGATTACTTGACTTACCTGTTCTTCTGACAGGAGATTCTGTAAAAGTTTCACTTCCGGAACGCTATGCGGAATTACTCTTATCACTTTATGCCTGAAATAATGTAAATTTCTTAAAGAGAGGATGCGGCTTGTTTTTAACGTGAACGCAATCACTATTTTGATTTAGATTTGCCTGCTTTCGCTCCAGACAAAGATTCGTTTTTAAAAACGCTTTATATAGCCTGGTTACAACAGTAAGTAAATAACAAACCTGTGTTACCAATAATATTACAGTCAAGCAAGCCTGTTTATCCGTAAACGCCAATTTTATTTAATCGTACAGGTGATCAAAGACGATTATAAGATTTTCACACTAATTAGAATGATCAAATGCTTTACAGGATGAAAAAAAGAATAATATTAGATTTAAAAATTATTTTTGTCTCAACGAAAATAATATTATATCTAAAATTGAGGAGATTCAAACTTACCCAGCAAACGGCCCGTGCCCCAGCGTTCCATGAAGCCCAAGCAATGGTAACACGAAAACGGCTAACACTTTCAACGTTTCCATTTTTAAATAAGTGAATTAAGTGATCTTATTTTTTAAATTCAGATATTTATACTCGTGTTTGAACTATAAAATCATGCGATAAACCGTGGTGCATGTACCAGTTTTTGGTATGGTCTAGATTTAAACGTAATAATTATATCTGATAATAGGGACATACGATATGTTTAATTTTGTTCTGTATTGACTTACTTCAAGTGGAATAAGATTAAATGATAGCAAATCTCAACGATTACCCATTATCCAAAGTTTGAATGAAAGGGGCGGAAAATCACGATTGAATAGGGTATATTATAGCTATGGTGTCAGTTTTCAGTCGGGCATACTTCCTGATCGGGAAACAAGGGGATTCCCCTTCAAGGCTTCCCGATCAGGCCGCAAACGTCAAAATCCTTCCCGATCGGGAAGTTTATTGGCCTTTTTACGTAGTTCAGGAAAAATGGCCGGTGCATAATAGTTTTCAACCCACTACAATATATGAATATCACATTTAAGTGCAGAAAAGATATATCTAAAATCCTACCGAGTCATTTTCTTTTAAAATGTCTAAAATTAAAATAATCTGAAAGTGAATTTGAGTGAAGTTTTACGATTTTACTAAGAAGTAGCTGCTTCCCGTTTTGGAAACACTGTTTCCTGATCAGGCATCTAGCATAATATTCACCATTAAATGTTTCCTGTTTGGAAAGTTTTATTCTTTAAGTTAGCGCGTTCTATTCTGGAATTATTTCGTGTTGATTGAGATTGCTTGGGACAACACCAACAAATAAAGTTATCTGTGCAACAAATCAACATGTGAGTCATGGTTTGAATGTTTTGAAGTCTGGTGTGCCTAGCAGTTCAGATACAAATGATAGCATCATAGGTGGTGTCTTCTCAAATTTTGTAAAAACGAATATTCAAATATATTCGAATATGTAAAAACGAATATTCTAACATCAATTTTATTATTCGTTCCCGGCCCTAGTTATTTTTATTATGCCCCACTTCGAAGAAGAGCGGGTATATTGATTTGCTTATGTCCACACAATATATGTATGACTATAAATTGTATGTATATAGAGGATATTGAATGAGTGTAGTTTAATACTAAATTTATTGAACGAGTTGAATAAAATCATATTATTCGAGCCTCTGGCGAGCATAATATTGTTTTATTCAACGAGTTCAATAAATTTAGTATTGAATCTACACGAATATAATATTCTATTTACAAGAACGGTAAACTGTTAAAATGAGTAATTTTTCAATGACGCGTTTATAGAGTAACGCTAACATTAGCGCGCTTTAACGCTATGTTTCTATATAGCGCAAATGACGTCACGTCAAAGTGTTATTACACTAGTGTAATAGCGTTTTTATTAAATAGAGGATATTGAATGAGTGTAAGTTCAATACTGAATTTATTTCACGAGTTGAATAAAATTATATTATGCGAGCCTCTGGCGAGCATAATATTATTTTATTCAACGAGTGCAATAAATTCAGTATGGAACTTACATGAATTTAATATTCTATTTATCACATACCCAAAATAAAGACTAAGAGTCATATTTCATTGACGCGCCTATATTATAGCGCTAACATTTAGCACTCTTTACACTATGTTTGTATAACGCTAATGACGTCACGTCAAAATATATGCACGGCCGTGCAATACCATATTTACGGAGTCGCAAAATCGGCACGGGTGTGTGATAAATGGCTTTATTACATTCCTGCGCCGCGATTTATGTGATAAACAATTTTATGTTGAATAAAATATATGTTATGTTATGTTAATGTTGGTCCGTCAGTACATCGGTAGACCTCAGTTATTATCTTAAAAACTATTTATCACATAGTCTTCATATTTTACATACTAATTGGTCATAACTATAGTAGGTGAAACATATTGATTTCAAAGCTTTGTCAAAGGTCAAGGTCACAGGGACCCTAAATGTCAGAATGGTTTCCGCTCATTATCTTGAAAAAAAAAACTATTTCTCACAAAGTCTTTATATTCCCAAATTAATTAGTCATATGCTGTAGATGACTCCTATGATTTTGTGGTCACTAGTTCAAAGGTCAAGGTCACAGGGGCCTTAAATGTGGGAATGGTTTAAGCTCATTATCTTGAAAACTATCTATCACTAAGTCATTATATTTCACATATTGATTGGTCGTAAGTATAGATTACCCTATCAATTTTGGGGTCTTTAGGTCAATGGTCAAGGTCACAGGGACCTTAAGTATGTTTGTTTATCCGTCGTTAGACCACATTGTTTCTGCTGATTATCTTAAAAACTATTTATCAAATAGTCTTCATATTTCATATATTGATTGGTCAAAACTATTAAATAACCTATATTGATTTTGGTGTTAACTAGCGTAAAGGTCAAAGTTACAGGTGTTTTAAATTTCGGAATGGTTTCCGCTCATTATCTTGAAAACTATTTATCAGAAAGTCTTCATATTTCACACATTGATTGGTCATAACTAGAAAATGACCCTTTTTGATTTTGGATTCACTAGGTCAAAGGTCAAGGTCACAGTGACTTGAATGTCAAAATGGTTTCCGCACAATATTTCGAAAAGTATTTATGACAAAGTTTTCCTATTTCATGTGTTGATTAGTCATATGTGGTAAATGACCCTTATTGATTTTGGGGTCACCAGTTTAAAGGTAACAGGGTCCTTAAATGTCAGGATGGTTTCCGTTCACTATTTTGAAAACTATTTATCACTAAATCTTTTATATTTCACTTATTGATTGGTTATAATTAGAAGATGACCCCTGTCGATTTTGAGGTCTTTAGGTCAAAGGTCACAAGGACGTTAAATGTCAGAATGGTTTCTACTCATTATATTCAAAACTACCCGTTATCAAGTTTTTGTGTTTCACATTTTAATTGCTCATAACTTGTAGATGGCCCCTATTGATTTTGAGATCACTAGGTCAGAGGACAAGGTCACAATAACCTTGAATGTTCAAAGTAGATGCCCATAGTTACATTTATATGATAAAATATATATTATTCCAGCTACTCTCCATTTTGTTTAACTTACTTATGATAGATTTCATTCAATTTCAGCTAGAAAGGGGGGGGGGGCATATATGTCATTATGATATTTCTTGTTTTATTTTTTTATTTTGTCTTATATTTTATTCATTTTTTAAAATTAAAGTGCCTTAAAGGGTATGTTCTATATCTTATTACCATATAAATTACCATATTTATTTCATACAATCATTTTGGAAGTATACTTTTTTAAAATTTAAACAATAATTTTGCATCTGATATATACACTTAAGTTTCAGAAAACAGAAATATGACACAGTCACTACAAACACATGAAGTATGCAAACACGTCTTAAGCTATAGCCAAAAAAAAATATTTATGTGAGCTCTAGTCAACATTTAACTTAATTATTTGAGCTGCATGTTAATTGTTTTGAGAAATTACACTCTATGCAATGTTGTAATGATGATTTTTGTACTGTCCGTCAAGTATAGCTAATGTTTTGATAGGTATTATTACGCCTAACAAGAACATAAGTTTCGCCAGATATATTCCACTCGTCGTTGAATTATGTGCCACATGTCTTTAAAAACTGACCAGGCTTGGCAATTTCTAATCAGCAAGGCCAGGTACTACTACATGTTAAGAGAGAATTGTAATGATTGTAAGCTTGAGACCAAATCTACACTTGATATATTTTTTGCTTCCAATCGCCGACCAATCATTGCCTGGTGATAAAAACATTATTTTCTTTTCGCAGCCGTCTGTTGGCATATGAAAGGTTTCATTATCAAGAAAATTCTAGAAAACATTAAACAAACTTTACGGCAATCCTCGATGCATTTATCGATATATATATATGTCAGAAGCAAATTCGAAATGTATGATTGCAGACTTCTAAAGAGATCCACAATTCCTAGACAAATTGGTTGTGTATGAATGACTAGAGCGCCAGATTGTCATATAAAACGTAATTTGAATTTTAAAACCCAATCTGAATCGCCTACAATACAGTAAATATGTTTTTGAAGTTATCTTTGGGGTTTTTAGAGAATCAAAAAGTGTTCTTGTGAATGCCCATGTGGTGGCTGCTATGGAGAATTTCTTAGCAAGTTCTTATGAAGACAAACAATCTCAAATGTTAAGACTGAAACGGAATCTATCGTACCAAACAATATCAAAGCAAAACCTAGGACTTTTGTAGCTGGGTTTGAAGAATGTATTTATGTTAATAAAAATACGTTAACAATTGATTGCAAAGGCAGTATCGACAGCTTTGTACAATGAAAAACCATTTGAACAAGGCAAACTTGGTAAGAAAAATTATACAAAGGTAAGACTGCAAATGTTGTATTTCATTATGTGGATATATTGTACATCCAGTAACGCAGGAATGTGCAAATAACGTAAAAGTAACATCGAATATGTGCAATACTATGGCCAAAACGAGTAACAAGGTAGGTAAACGAACCAAATATTTTATTGTAAACCAAATCAAAATGTATGGCTGCTATGGCATAACATTTTAACCAAACATTTCGAGAAATAATGTTTACTTTTTAAGCGTAAGATGACCCAAGAAGTTTGGCAAATGTCTCGGATACACTGAATATATAAAGCCACAATGCAATATATATTGTATAATACAAAGCTATCGATGAAGCACATTAAGTCGCACCCCATACGCTAGCCAGGTTGTCATTACCAGGAATGATCATGAAAAATAATCACTTCTATGGAGCGATTTTTGATGAGATTTAAAATATAAATTCTCAGCAACCGTATGCTTTAATTCATTTCAATCAATTAGATTACAATAAAAATGTTGGTTCATTTTCTTTGCTTGGTGCTCGTATCCACCATATAATTGTACACTTCTGCGAAATTCCTATCTACAACGTGTATTTGATAACAGCCAAAAATGGAACAGAGAAAATAGCAATGCTGGTGGGGAGTGTCTGGGCTTTGGTCATTTTTAGAAGTCTGTGGAAAGTATTTAAACGACGTATATAGAAGAGTTGCTGCTCATTTGTACGTTTTATAGCTATGGGATAAGATTTATTTTGACGAAACGTATTACTTTGTTATAACTGCATTGTTTTGGTAAACACAAAGAAGGGACACAGGAGTCAAAGACATCAAGATATGAATTGCAGACACGACGGACCTTTACAACTTTGGATTGTTGAAACTATTAATCCATTAAGATGTTAACATATTCGTGTTTCGCACTAATGACCGTCTCGTATCAAGGTAATAATTATACGCAGTACAACTTTTGAGCAGTTTATTTACTTTATGCATCTCACTCTTGTACACATTCAATTTCACTAGTTTTTTTTAAAACAAACAAGTCGACCATAAGAGATTTTAGAATACGAAATCACACCGTGCTTTACACATTGTTAGTCGATGTTTTGATCAATTAAACAGAGATTGTATATACACTTAAGTGGAGCAAATAAAATGACGAAACAACAAAGCCAGGATATGTTTTGCAATTTATTCCTCAAAATTACAATATCAATATTATGCATCAGAACATTTAGATCACATACACAATTATTATGAAATATTAAAATAAATTGTCATGGAAAAAATCTTAAAATGTTTTTGTGCGTTATATTGAGTTAAATATACCAATAATTTTGCATAATATTATCATTTGCTTTCAAATATATTATTTATTTAGCAAATAGAATGTATTTGAACACATCATTTACAATCTGCTTAAATTTTCTTATTTCTCCGTATTCTGCACATACTTTTATATACATGTATAATATATAAAAATTGGTCCGCACGCATGATAATAATTCTGCAAATAATTATCGTTTGAATATACAATATATCACTTTACCCGCACGTATTTTCTACTACAATATCCTAATTATTTCGAACATATTTTGCAAGCGCTTTAAGAGCCTCCAGCGTTTCTTTCCCGCTCGGTATAATTTGGTCGTCTGGTAGCAAGAAGCCGTACTTTCCGTCATCTCTCAGCTGTACGTCATAGGCAAATTTCGCCCCCAGTTTTCCGTAAACCCAGTCAACACCAAGGCCACTAGCAACAGCTGATTACAGAATAGAAAATGAATAATGTCACGACAAAACCAACATAATGGGTTTGCGACCAGCATGGATCCAGACCAGCCTGCGCATCTGCGCAGTCTGATCAGGATCCATGCTGTTCGCTTACAAACCCTATAGCAAGTAGGGAGTCTGATAGCGAACAGCATGGATCCTGATCAGACTGCGCGTAAGCGCAGGCTGGTCTGGATCCATGCTGGTCACAAACCCATTATGTTGGTTTTGTCATGGCACGGCTCAAATAAATAATGTCAAATGTTGGTTTATAACATTCCGTAAACAAGCGGTGGTACATATTTTTTAGTTTATACAAATTTATTTTAGTTCGATTGAGTTAGAAGCTATCAGCTTATTGAAAAAAACACTCGAATCCGTTCCTAGAACCAACCAGTACTAAGCAATGAATATAAAGTTTTTTTTGCTCAAGGAACAACGGCTCTTGTCTCTGACAGGGTTTGAACCCACGCGCTGAACTTATTCCAATAGGTATATATGCTTGCGTTTTTTTAACTTTTATTTTCATTTATATTACCACTTTTCTCGGCGATAAATCATCACAATCGCAGTTGTATAGCTTTAGTGATACAATTTATGCAAATGTTGTCGCTCATATTTATTAGCCGTCTTGCCACTACATCATATGGTAGTGTAATAATTAACAATGTGCAGCCTGACCGAGACTCGACCCGGTACCCTCGGAAGTAGTGAACAGTTCAATACTGTGACATATTGTATTTCAATTTTGTTTTAGATAATGAAATCAGCAGTCTTAAAAAATAAATAGATAAATAAAAATTGTATTAGAAATGTATTATAACTCACAGGCTCGGTTAGCGATTTCTCCATGTGCAAATTTGGTACCATAAACTTGTTCCAATGCTTTGACGGCCACTGTTGACCCTTCATCCTGAAATAAAGGGAGATAAATCTTGAAAAGAATATTTAAATCTTAAAAGGAATATTTAAAATAAATGCATGTACTTAAAAAACTGAAATATTCTTGATAACGGACGTACAGGGTGATCCAAAATATCTGTAATTATTGGGTAGGGCAGTATTGAATTTCGTGCATTTATTTCAATACGCATGCAAATCTTTGTTCCGTCCATGTACCGTTGATTCTGAGTAGTAAACTAAACCGGATAGTTTCATTGCTTGAAATAAATAAATAAATAAATAATAATAATTATTATAATTATAATAATAAAATCAGTAAAAGTGGCAATATGACTATTGTCTGTGTCTAACTCGCATCGAATCCTTGCCGTTTCTCTTCAGATTTTGCGGTAGGGTTTATATCCGTCCAGTTACGCAAAAGGTTACTCTAGTTGTTTATTCACACACCCATCAGCGATTTATAGTAACAACTAGCTTTTGATTCCAATAAAACGAAAATTCAATATAAAAGTAAAGGTTGCTATTATATCAGTTATGTATACAATCATAATTTTATAAGATAGAAACACTGTGATAAGTATCCTTTTTTAGATCAACACCATGCACATTACAGCGGGTTGTCAGAGAAGACAACTCAAACTATGGAAGAAGTCATGATTAGATCAAGGGAGTTATAAAAAAATTAAATTGGCAGCCATTTTGAGGACAGCTCGTATTACGTATCAGACGAGGAAATTTTAGCCACATTCAAATGTTACCTGGATTTTGAAATCGACCGGAAGTGTGTTGGTCGATGCCCAGGGTGACAACCATTGTTGTGTGTAGCTGTGAAAATTTATGAACCCTTTAAGGTTTTCAATTTTGCTCATATAATCAGCAACTCCTTTGATTTCAACTTCGGAGAAAGCGTTAGGCCCGCAGTAAATGTTTGAACATGGGTCTTTGCTCGCTCCTGACTCTGTAATAGATAATTGGGTCAAAAAGTGTTTATATGAAACATTGTTAAAGGAATTTACATAGGACACACTTGACTTGTTTTTCAATCCGAGAAATTTTCACTGCGTATGCTTTTATACTTCATATTCATGTTGTTACAATTTGAAAATATAATATTTTTTAAAAATAAACAGCTTTCCAGTATCATATACCGTTGATCTTAATTAAATGCAAATAGGTTAACGATTTTATTGTGCAGAGCGCAAGAACCGCCTTCTACAACATTTATTAGATCTATAACATTAGATTATTTCACTTGATTCATTTCCCTTAGTTTAACCCTTTTTTGTCACATTACAAGATATTTCATATCATTTCACAAAGCATTTTTTTATTATATCAGATCAACGTAAAGGTTTTGCAAAAAATATCTCAAGCTCCATATTTTCGTGACTTACTACACCAGTCCCAGTCCCAGTTCCTATTGGCGTCAACACCACGACAGGCACCATGCTTTGATCGGGTCTTTCTCCACAAACGTGTCTAGAAAAAAATGTAATATACTTTTTAGTAAATCTCTGTAAGTGGAAGTTGCAAAATATTCCGAAAACGACCGGAAGAGACTTTTCTTCTAATATGACATTATGGCACCATATCATAGAGTATTTTTACACCATGTATACACGACAGTAAAGCAAAACAGTTGCCAATAGTTAAAACAGATTGTAATGCAGCGCGTACACTCAATATAGTACGCAAATAATGGTAAGTATGACAAAAGCAAATTGGCTGGGCAAAGAAACAACATTAAACAACAATATCGTACAGCAATAGCATAGGCCCTTCCCAAAAATGAATATAAGGCTATAGAAAATATTCTTTTAGGGAGATAATAATTACTTTTTACAGCAATAAAATTGGATTGCGTAATTAAATATCAAGCATTTGCAAAAATTTAATAGTTTACTTAATTAAAAATACATGTATATTATAAGCTCACTATGACTTTCTTTAACCATGCAGGAGCTCGAGTGAAATATGTCATCATTGTACTTTTGGACCGTGGCAGTACATGTATATGTCTTTAAACATATACGAAATAGCAAATACCTCATTTTAAGTGAAGTCAGTATTAAATCATTCGTCTTACCGAATCATCAACAAATGTGTACGCGTACCCGTCTGGGTTGGTAACCGGAAGTATATACCAATCAAAGCTGTCAACCATTTCCGTCAATTCCATGTCCAGTTTATACAAGTCCAGCATCTAAAATAACACAAAATTGTAGAATCTTTTAAAAATTTCACTTTATAGATTAAATAATGTTTAAATTCGTTAGATTTAAAATTATAACATACTTTTCATAAAGATATTTTCAATTCACTTTATAGTTCAGTATATGTAATAATTTACACATCTTTAAGCTCAGAAACGCGAAGTTAAGAATCCGGTTTCCTGAATGAAACAAGTTTTGCCGTTGGAACTATCTAAAGGTATCATTTTATTTTAGATATTTTTAAAAGGTCTTTATTGGAAAGGTTTTCATCGCAATATTTAGAATGATATTTCTGTATTTTCTAAAAATAAAAATGAAGAGCCTTCGAAATAGACATGTTTTGTCTTATGAATGCTCCGTTCAGGGCAAACAGGAAACCAGAAATATTCTACGAATAAATTCGATTTTTTTGGACATTGGTTACGGAAGAACACGGAAAATGACGTTTTGCACGATTTTACACAAAGTGTGTTATGCGGATCAGACCTTAATTAAAATGCAAGGAAGGACAACATTACCTGGCCAGCCATAAAAACAACTGTGGCTGGGGAAATCCATTCTTCCGGGTGAATACCTCCTTCAATCCAGAACGCTGGTCTGTCCGCATTTTGTGGCTGTGTGCTAATCTAATTACATTAAAAGATAATTTCATATAAAAAATAAATATATAATTTAGTTCCTTGTTAACTGAATAATATATAACATATGATTATATGTAACATTGGTAAATATGGTTGTAATTGTATAATGGTCATAACGCCTGCAATACATTATATGTTTGTTACTGTATATTATTTCATATGTTTTTATATACATAAATATAATGTACGGTATAGAGTAGGATATCCTCGACCTGCATATACCTATTGACGAGGAAAATAAATTAACATGAAAAAAAAAAAAAAAAAAAAAAAAAAAACATTAAAAGATTGGTTTTACTCCTAAATTCTTAGACTAAATAATGAACTATACCGAGTTTCATGATAAGAATTTGCGAATTAATAGTGGCAGTTTAAAGTATAAACTTAAATGATATATTGCATGTTGACTGTATTTGTTCTCTTTAAAAATGTAATATAATAGAGATTTAAGTCAAGAATAATTTTCTTTTATTCATATGCATTTATCCAATTAGTATTAACTATTAATTAATATGGTTAATACAGGGAGATAAATACCTTAATTCCAACAAGTTCTCTCCCCTCGTAAGACTTTGTTATATTAAACATAGAGGCCTTGTCTTTGTAAACGTTTGTTATATTTTGCATCCAGTCATATATCTGAAAATAAGAGTAACTGTTAAGTTGGATAATTGACCATTATCAATTTGATTCATCGTCGTCATCACCAATTATCATCATTATTATCATCATAATCATCATCATAATCATCATCACCATCACAACAATCATCATCATCAACAACAACATCATCATTATCATCATCACAACAGTCATCATTATTCATCATCATCATCATCATTATCATCGCAACCATCATCATCACCGAGCGAAAATTTCGTGTACATCAACTTTAAATAAATTTGAAATAAATGCGATATGATACATAAAGCATCCACTTCTCCCTAGCCCAAGATGAATGTTGTATTAAAATCGGGCAACCATTATAAAAATGTACATGATGTGTCATTGTGTACATGAATAAATAAGCATGTAATCAGTGCATTACATGAAGCGGAAAAAGGAAGAATAGCGCCATCTGGCGTCAAATATGGTTATGGATATAGATATACTTACGTCATCAAGTTGGTGATATTTTGAGTATTCAAACTGGTTTGCTTTGGGCACTTTGATATTTCTGTAGGCCTTTTGTTCATCAATTATTTGCTGCACATCCTCTATCATGATTTTAACGAACATGTCTTTTTCCAGCAGATAATTTGTGACGTCATCATATTCAAATGGTGACAGACGAATATCCACGGAATTGTTAACGCTTGATGGTGCACGCCATACATCCAAGTGCTGCAAATAGTGTTTTAAGTTAGAAACTTAAAAGGAATATTTGACAAAAACATGCATCAGAGTTAAGGGTATTGCTAAATAAACTCTGCAAATCATGCAAACTGCACGAGAAATTTCGAGTATTTCGAACTCTACCGAGCTTTATAACATTTATTTTATTATAAGTTTAGAAAAAAAGAAGAAAAAAAGTGAAAAGATTGCAGTATATCAAATAAATTGTATAAGTTAAATTAACGTTTACAATGGTTACTCGGAATGAAGTCTCTTACAGTCTTTATTATCAGCCTGTGCCGCTCTTGACCAATTTAATTTCGTTTATAATTTCTAGTGAACACTAACAGGCATGCAAAACAATAGTTACTAAATTGTCAAATATTCTGGTTTACTTTTGGGAAAAACACTTAAAAATTTACCCGCTCTTCAAATAGGAGATTCTGCAGATGTTTCACTTCCTGTTCGGTATTTGGGGTTACTTTTATCACTTTATGTCTGAAATTAAAACATATTCAATTAACTGTTATTTTCATTTAAAGTTTTATTAAACAGTTTACAGAAAATATCACCGACTATTCAAAACGTTTGTGTCGCTTCAAATACTTAGTAACTCGTGTTCATGATTTATGATGTTGTTCAACGAAAAAATAATCATATTCATGTCGACTCTGTGCCACCGCAGTTTAATGCAAACTTTAATGATTATAAAGAAAACAATTAGAAGAAAATTAAGTGAGAATTTAATATTACGCAATTTAGGAGTATAAGCAGCAAAAACAGGAATGAAATTAAAATCCAAAGGTAGGTAACTGTACGTTGCAAAAACGCATTATCTGCCCTTTTAAACCGAGCGCCATGCAATGAAAGCAAATGGAACCGATTTCAAATGAGGTTAAACGCAAGCATATTATTTATTTATTTATTAAATAACTTTTGCTCATTTAAGACTTAAAACGATAATATAGTTTTAAAATTCAACCTTACCCCGTCCATGGTCCATGACCCAACGTTCCAAGAGGCACAAATATCGCTAGTGTAACTAGAAGTAACATTGTTGTTGATTTCAGTACAGAATAAAACAAACTTATTCAAATTTTGTTTATTTATACTAGTTTATATATCACATGATCTCACACAGTTGATGTACCAGTTTTTGTTATTGTCAAGTGCTGTGTTACTTACTGTACTGTAAGGCAGCTGATTAAAATACGGGGAGATAAACTTCAAAAAGATTTCAAAATCTTTATTTTAGTATTTCATTGAACATATGATTTAAATACTTAAGGTTAACCTGATAACCGGTTTAATCACAAGCGTAAAGTTGTCGTGGCCTATATTTTTCCCCCTCAACTTTTTGTAGAATTTCTACAACACTTGCAAAAAGGCCGCTGATATTTTTTCTGTTCCTCGATTTTTTTGTAAATAGAAAAACGCTCCTTGCTAATTCCAACAACTGTTATAAAATATGGAGTTTTATACTTTCCCCACGATAATTTGTACGATTTCAGCAGAAAATATAAGTTGGCCGCGACATTTTGTGATAAAACGATAAAATTTCTCGTCGTTTTGAAATGGCCGCAACCGGCCACCATAAGTAACCATTCTTCTGTGTTCTTTATGTTTTTTGACATGACGGCATGGCGGGACTGAATATATTTTTTGAGCAATATATACTATTAAGGTTTAAGTATGGACGAGTAACTTGTGCACAATATCAGATCATTCGCTTGGTCCATTTTTTAAAAAATATTCATTTTCATTATAAAAAATGACCTAAAACTGAAAATCATTCAAATGTTTTTAATTCAAATTAGGCAAAAATAAATAAATAAACAAACAAACAAACAAACAAATAAATAAATAAATTTTAAATAAATAAATAAATAGATAGATAAATAAATACACATGCACAATTCTTCCGTTGATAGAGAATTAACTCGACACACGGTCAAACATTCGTAAGCTTCAGTTTCCTATTAAAGAAGTAAGACAATGTTTACTTTACGTCCACTATGATTGAAAATGCATCTTCAGAATAATGCCTTTATCTAAACTTAAACTAACGTACCGATTTAATGAAAGCGCGCCAAAAATTATCAACAACGTTACCGCGAATAACGTCACCGCGTAAGGTGACACTTCCTGGAGACTGAGGAAACAACATGGCGCCGTTCTCGAAGCATTATGACAACTTTGAAGCATACATGATCAACTTCAATGAAGGTTAGTGTTTTATTCGAAAAAAAGTAGTTTATAGTAACAAACGTACGGTTTATTGAGTCATAACTTAGTATGACCAATTGTTTTACTTTATTAAATCGGTAAGTTTGTTTAGATCTATTAGAAAAATTAAGAAAGTCTGCGAGCAAATAGATCTAGGCCTGCAAAATCACAAAGTCCACAAGTTTCGGTTACTAGGTGCTATTCCTATTTTATAATGTAGTTTTTATTAAAATATGTAAACAACTGGGGATGTTGGGGTTGTAACCCTCAATAAGCAGTGTATTTACAGGATTCCCGGGTCCGATAAACTATATATTCCTTAAATATAGGTTGTTAAAGAATCCATTTTTATAACACTTTATGATGCTTACTTTTATGATATTTCATTGTACGTACTCAAGAATATTAAATACATGCAGAGACATAGTTATAGACAAATATGAAGTCATTGATTGAAACAGATCTAGATTACTTAAAATATCAAATCATAAATTTCGACATAGAAGATTTAGTCAAATATTAAGTCATAGATTTCGACATAGAACATTTAGTCAAATATTAAGTTTAGATTTTAGTTTAGTTTAATAATATTTTATTGCAACTATCATCGTTATCATTTACAATACATGTAAGGTTACATGAATCATACAAAAAACAAATATTCACAGATATATAATGCAAATAGGTTGAGCTACAAGTTATAACAACATTAGCAACATGCAGCCCTCCCCACAACGTCATTTTTCAAGAGATCATATTTATTCCGGTACTTGACATGTAGATATTCTTAACTAGCCTTTAAAAATATCTACATGAAATATTTAGTCATATTTAGACATATATTTAGTCAAATATGGAGTCATAGATTTAAGACATAGATTAAGTAAAATTTCAAGTCATAGATTAAAGCATAATTCTATAGTCGAATATCAAGACCTCATTTAGACATTTTTTTCAGATATAGAGTCGTAGACAAATATACATACAGATATGTATAGATTGAATGAAATATCAGAAAAAAGATGTAGACAACAATTTAGTCAAATTGCTAATAGATCATCAATTTAGACAAAAATTTTGTCAAATATTAAGTCCTAGATTGAAACAAATTTGTAAATAAATTAAGACATAAATTTAAAAAGATATTGCGAGATAAATTAAGCTATACAATGTAGACTTTAAACAAACTTTCAATCAGAAATTTAAAAACAGATTTAATCATATTTTAAAACAGTGATTTAGTCAAATCTTGAATCAAAGAATTAGTCATATATCTAGATACATGTATATAACTTACATGTATATATTACCCCTTCAGGTTAAGAAGAAACAATCCGAAATCTAAAATGTGGGGGACATCTCACAACAGAAGCAATCCATGGCGGCTCTTCCGTCCATCGACTGCTACCGAAAATCACGAACCATCACGAGATCGAAATAACAAGACGATTGAGTATTCACGTGCACGCAGTTCAGCAGACACAGTTTTGTCAAAGAGACAGGAAACAAACCATGTCTTTTACGAGCAATATGACGACAATGCAAATGCAAACATTATAGATAAATTTAACGTTTATGGCTGGAAAAAGAAATTTACATGTGACAAACAAACCCAGACTGATCCTGCAACTGAAACGACAACGAACCAGAAAATTGCTGCTCGAAAGTCGTTTGCGAATAAAGTCATATATTCTAAATCGTGCGACAGTTTGCTGAAAAAAACTCCGACACGGCTTTATTTTAGTAGAAGCTTTGATAATTCAAAGAAAATTAGAAGATGTGAAATTGATGAGCAGCAGACGACAAAGTTTTGTGACAATCGTGAAAGGGTTCTTGAAAAACTGAAAAAGCCACACGATGATTTATCATCAAATACGGCTGTTTTTCCAGAAGGTCTTAGCATGACCGATGGTTTTTATGGCGGCAATTGTTACAAAAACACCCAACACGAAGACGAATTCATGTCGCCAAAAGAAAAATGCGAGAAAAAACCAAGCGAAGTCCCGAATCGCATCGAACAAAGAAAAAGTAAGCAATATCTAGGCGACGATATCTGTTCTGACTTAGAATCAAATCTTAGAAATATGTCATGTCAGGATAAAACAGAAGACACTTTTATAAACGAATGGAGTCCATTTCATCAGAACCGTGAAAGAGACAACGAGTTTAATGATTATCGTCAATCTGATGATGTCAGTCTGGCTTCAGAGCGAAGCTGCTATTCAATATCTTCCGAGGAACAAGAAAACGAGATTGAGTATGAGATTGTCGACTGGTGTGAATATAATGAGGGTTACAAAGAAACAGAAGATTGTTCCAAAAAGAGGTCTGGCGGAATCAGTTCCCAATTAAACACACCCGTACTGGACCTGAGTGCCCTAGACGGCTATCATACGGCCCCAAACTCGCCGCATGCTCCCATTGAATCCGAAGAATATCCTCCGCTATATCAAGAGAAAGAGATTATCTTGGATTTCACAGAAAATAATGGTGCATCAAATAATAAGTGTGTAAAAGAAATCAAAGATTTTGGGAATCGCTGTGAATCTGACGGTGCATCATCCCATTACAAAAAGGAAGATAATGCTTTCCAAAAACAGACTTTGTGTTGTAAATGCGGAAAAACTATGGCATCCAATGAGGAGCAGTTTCAGAGTGGTACGGTTGAAAATAGAAATAAGACAAATAATCGTAACAATCAATATGAGCTGGTTGGACAATACCAAAGGTCAACTGAGGTTGACTTTAGAAATCTTACGTTAGAGACGCCTCCATTTATAGCAGTGAACAGTCTACATTACGAAGCTGACCCAGAGACCGGGAAAGCAAAAGTCGTTGGCCGAGGAAGTTTTGGACAGGTGTATAAGGCAAGATTTTCAGATCCTAGGTTTAACCATCTTCCAATAGTTATTAAAGAATTTGATGAAGAGTTCACGAATTCTAAAGAAATCATCGAGGAAGCAAAACGTTTGAATTACCTACAAGATACGAGATATGTTCCTATTTGCTACGGCCTTCTATGCTTCGGCTCCCCAGTCCAGCCGAAATATGGGATTGTCCAGGAATACGTAGGCACCGGTTTGACCTTGGAACAAATGCTTTGGGATCAGTATGAACTCCCGTTAGAATACTGGTTCCGGATTGCAATACAGTGTTGTGAAGGGCTTGCTAGATTCCACGATAAAGGCATTCTTTTGAATGATATTAAAACCAATAACATTTTACTGGAGTTTGAAGATCATTCTGTTCGAATACGATATATCGATTTTGGACTGGCTACAGACATGCGCGGGAAACGGTATAAGAACAGTCGCTCATTGGAGGATTTTGTTTACCTTGCACCGGAAGTGAGAAAATACGGAAAAATCACTACCGTGGCGTCTGATATCTATTCACTAGGTTTTATTTTGGAACAGATAAAGAAATATACGGGTGTGAACGAGTTAGTGGTGATAGCCCGTCTATGTATGGAAAGGGATCCAGAAAAGCGACTTCCGCCATGGAAAGCAGCAAAACTGTTGAAAGATCACATGATCAAGCTTGGATTTGACGTCATGTTTTCATGGGACGTTTAAGAGTATGTGTAACGACAAACGTATATCAGGCATGGCCGAAAGTTGAATAAGACGACAGTTATGATGGCAGCAGACAGCGTTATTATATTAATTTACATGTATATATATTTATATTCAAAACGAAAAATCGAATAGAACATTAACTGACTGCACCAACAGTTAAATTTAACTCATGGAATTATTATTATTCATTATGAAAAAGTGATCTTTAAAACTGTATGAGTAATCTGAAAAACAAAACAACCTTTGCTATCAACAGGAAGTGAATGAAATAGTATGTAGTTTAATACACGAGTAGAATATTGTTTTAATATTTGGTCACAAGACCATTGAACTATTTCAATATCTTCTTCATCCATCACTGAATCATGTTTTACAGAGCTGACGCATTTGTTATAAAGTACATGTACATTGTTTTAAAGCATCTGCGCGTTACAAAAGTAGCTAGAAGCGAAAGTAAAAAAAAAGGTTTAGGATTTCAAAAAATTTAAACAGAAAATCTAAAAATTCGGTATTTGGAATTGCCGTTTTTTTCTTCAAAAATGAAAGAATGTACATAAATTCGCTAAATTTTGTAATAAAGAACAAATTTGGGTTATATTTCAAAATATTTGTTTTCATATATTGTATGTTATAGTAGCAATAATAAATACTTGATTATAAAATACCGTTTTAATTGTATACATTTTAAAAACATACTTAAATCTATCTTACGTCGTTCGATGAGATATTGAAAAATATCAGTAAGATATAATGTATGTGATATCACACTTATAGAGAGTAAGTGATATATATAGAAGGTGTTTAAGATTTTTTTCTTTAGATACATGATTTATTTTCATCTAGTGGTATGAAAATAAATAGTTCACGAGTGACGATAGCCACGAGTGAAATATGATAATTTTCATATCAGAATATGATATCACAAAATAAATCCGGGTTTTTATAGAAATAAAAAAAACTTTAATTTTTTGTTCATTGAATGCTTTTTCTCTTTTTTTTTAAAAACAATTCTTAAGACTTCTTTAATTTTGTGTATTGACTTAATTAAGAAAAAAGTCGTCCGGCAAGGCACACCAGTGAAAATACAGAAAATATATTTCACTGCAATGCAAACCAATATTTCATTTATAAGTACATTGTATATAATAATCAATTATACAGGTACATTGAAAGATATTCGGAACAATTTTTCCTGCACTATATTCGAAGTTTCAAAACTTCCATAAAACAAGATTCTACACAATAATTTATCATACACCCGTGCCGATTTTGCGACTCCGTAAATATGGTATTGCACGGCCGTGCATATATTTTGATGTTACGTCATTAGCGTTATACAAACATAGCGTAAAGACGCGCTAAATGTTAGCGTTATACTATAGGCGCGTCGATGAAAAATGACTTATTTCACTTTAATTTGGGTCTTTATTTTTAGTATGTGATAAATAGAATATTAAATTCGTGTAAGTTCACATAATCTCGCATAATATAATTTTATTCAACTCGTGCAATAAATTCAGTATTGAACTTACACTCATTCAATATCCTCTATATATGATTCGTATATGTGGTAAACATTTACAAATCAAAGTTGATTAATAAATAAATATGACAATGCGCTCAGAGTATATAAACAAGCTTTCGTGATATCAGTATCAAATAAAGTAGGAATGAGTAAATCGGCTTGAACCTTGGACCGGACACTTAAATCTTTTATCTCGTATTGTAACATCAAGCTTACTGTCAAGTGCTCGCATATAAATATGTACAAGCAAAGTTTACTTATACATATGTGAATTATTTGTAATAAATATAATTTTACAGATATTTTTGAACAGATCTTGGCTTGCACAAAAACATGGTAAGTATGGTTTTCTTAGTTTTTAGTTAGGTCTTGTTTGGCAACATAATAAGGCACGAAGTAAGTGTAAGCACATGGTCTGGCGTTATAGAAAAATAACAACATCAACAACAACAACTAACTAAAGTTAAAAACAACAACGTATAGATATTGTTTCAGATAAATTTTTTGAAATATCGTTTTCATATTGAAAATACAACATGCGATAACCAGTCTACATGCTTTCAGGTTTATAATAAGCTTTTCGTATATATAAAACGCGAAACTATGTTTATTCTCATTTTTTATTTACATTGCATTTCTTTTTTTTAACTTCTATGTAATATCTCTGAGTTGGATCCACCAAACTTTCCTGGATAACTTACCAGTATTTCCTGCCGCAAGTCCAACATTATTTGAGCCGTGTCATGACAAAACCAACATAGTCGGTTTGCGACCAGCATGGATCCAAACCAGCCTGCGCATCCGCGCAGTCTGATCAGGATCCATGCTGTTCGCTATCAGTTTCTCTACTTGTAATAGGGTTTGTAAGCGAACAGCATGGATCCTGATCAGACTGCGCGGATGCGCAGGCTGGTCTGGATCCATGCTGGTCGCAAACGCATTACGTTGGTTTTGTCATGACGCGGCTCATTTCTAAATTAACCGTAAGTGACTATAAGGATGCTACACCGGCGCTGCCGGTACAAACCGGAATATCTAGCTCGAGGGTAACTGTTAACGGCGGTAACGAGGCTCTGCCGGCCATTTAATTAAGTCAATGTACGCGATCAATTGAACGGAACAATTACGTCTTACCAGAGGATCGGACCAGCGACCCTTGTGTTTCAAATCCGATGATCTACCTATTGAGCTAAGTGGGCGGAGTCAAACTGTATGTAACTGGTCACTAGCATTATCTAGAACCTCAATGACCTCGTCTTTTCACTATGTTTTATTTTTCACTTTTTTTTCAAAGTTGTGGAGAAGTTGGTTCCTTATTTCCGGTATATGCGCAGTGCTACTTTCGTACCGGATGTATGTTGTCCTTCATCGTGAAATTCCATCGGAAATTGAAAATCCCCACATTGTGCGATGGCTTGATGAAGCTGGTAGAGTAGGAAACACTCTGGTTTGTAAACTAGATACTTCTTTTTATTAACGGGTGACATATTTTTTACACTGACCTTCATCCATATTCAACCAATAAAATGACATTTAATGAAAAAGGGTGCATATTGGCATAAATAAATGACAACACACCACGAATGAAATATATATGAATGATGTTAGTGATTGTGATATACATAATTCGATATAGCATACCTACATATCGTTCTGGAAAAAAAATATTATTATTCATCATTTAAATGCCCATACTAAATCACTTAGAACTCTTATCATCTTTATTTTAATTGTTCAAGAAATATTCTGTATGAATAACAAAATGATACATTTCTGCCGATTTAAGCATTTTTTAGATACGGCGCCGATTGTAGACCAATTCCATTTAAGATACGTAACTCTATATCAAAATACAACTTTTTAATTTGACAAGTGTATAAAACAGGAAACCTTTAAAAGGAAAATGTTTTAATATTAAATGATGATCAGGTTATTTTGATTTTCTAGACTTGGATATGTCACCAACTTGGTGTTGAACACGCTACATGGCCAGCAAAGATGGTTGTGAATTTTGGGGCACGCCTGCTTTTTAATGGTTTTGGTAAACCGGTTACAAATATAACGGTAATGTATAATGATTAAAGTGTACTATTTTCTTGGGTAGTTTATGGCCATAACTTCGGATCACAAGCCTTCCGTATTTTTGCTTCGAATATCAATGTGAAAGTTGAGTATTATTGTTCAGAAGTAATACAGAACCTTGGGTGGTCTACGCAGAATCAATCTTGAAACAATATAGGACAGCTCGGATTATCCTTCAACGATTCATATGACTAAAACAGTGTCTTCAAAACGAGTTTAAACTAAATCACTAGATATACTAAAATGTAATTTGATTCGAAAGAAATCCTTTACCTTAATTTTGTAAGTGATTAAAACAATGGCTTGTTGTTCGGTTGAGAAAATTTATTATTATGCAAATTTCGTAAATGTAGCACCACTTCTATTATTAAAAAGTTCTTTTTTTAAGTTTTTCATTAAAGCTATTTTGTGCTACAGTTCGAGACTAAATATATTTATTTGTTTGTTTGCAGGTTCGTTACACAAGCATTGACTCAGTGCCGGTAACAATATTTTTACCCGATACACTAACGACTAAAACCAAATATCCGACCATGGTCTACTTCCATGGCGGGGGATGGACCTGGTTCTCTGTAGGTAGGTGTAGGATTCATTTCTGTTTCCGGTGTATAAATATACATTTTTTCTCTACAGTGTAATGACCAAGTGAATTAAAACCAACCATTGTTATATTAAGCCTATATCACGCTAAATACAATGTATCTTAAATGAACTTGTTCATCTTTAACATGGAAAAATCCATTCATCATTTTAGAGTAAATGCAAAAAAGTACTTTACTGACTGAATAGTAAACATTCTTTAATTGATTTGTCCATCCATGGCCAAAACCATTCATCATTAAAGGCAAAAATAAGTATGTATTGACAATGCAGACAACGATCAGACGGTAGCGATCTTGGACTACACTGGTCCTGTCGCCGACAGCAGAAAAATGGCTAGCAATAGACAGAAAATGAAATTGCAGAAATGTTCGTCGATGTATTTCTTGTCGCTATGGTATATTGACAAAACAAATAAATCACTGATCACTAATTAGTGTTCTTTTCTGTTTTATTATCATTTTAATTATTTTACAGATGTTTATGCGGGTTACCTTGCACATCTCGCCAAGAAAACCAACGTCCAAATAGTAGCTGTCGAGTATGTTTTTGTTACATTTATTTTTGTGAATTTCATGCAATATTGACTATGTTCAAGCTCTTAAATATTTGTTCAATCTTGGCCTGCACAAAGCACTTTGTTATTTGTCAAATAAGCAAGATTTCATTTCATCACTGTTCATAGTAAAAATGAACTAAAATTCGCTGTTTACATATATGCAAGACATAAGACAATAACTCTTATTAATACACTTGTTACTATATATATAGTAACAAAATTGCCTATGATTTCAACTGATTATGAGTGTCACGTGACCTATTATGAGTTTGCGGCCCGGGGCTGAGAACTAGTTATCAGCCCGCAGAAAATGTGAACGTGCACAAACTGAAACAATGACGTCATATTTTACGTCATCAAACAGTTAACTGTAAAAGTGAAAGAAGATTGTCAGCACGAATCGCTTTATTTCTATTATGAGAGCTTAAGCGTCATTAGTACAAACAGATTTTTGTTACTATTGAAATTTGAAGAAATAATACGACAAATTCATTCCGAAAAAAAAATGAAAATAAAACTTGCTTCTAGATTCTACTGCTTTGAACACACAAACAGTAAACGTCTCTGTACAGTACAGAACAGTAGAAGGGTAGACAAGAATTTCAACGAAAGAACTTCAAAGTATTTGTTGGTGTTTTTTTTTGGTTTTTTAAAAAAAATGCTACTATTAGATCTACCAAGTGTATTAAAGACATTAATACACGTCAGAGTAGGGCCGGAAGGTGATAATCGGCCCTGAATGAATAATGGCCCTCGGGCTAAAGCCCTCGGTCCATTATTCATTTTGCGGGCCGATTATCACCTTCCGGCCCTCTCCTGCCGTGTATTAACCTCTTAATGTTCCACGATGCGATGTTTATGAATATACAAACAGTTTTTGTTCAAATACATGCCTTTGACTACATGTCATTAACTTTGTAAATTGTATATTGTATCAACTTCCTTCAGTGAGTAAGCCTTTCCTTTTTGTTGGCAAATGAATAGATGTACATATAATTTGTTTTCAAACTAGATTTGATCTAGCGTTTTCATGATATTTTAAATGATATATATATATACACACAATAAAATCATTTTGTTCAACTTTAAACGTCATTTATAGTTACAGAAAAGCTCCTCAGTTTCCATTTCCGGCCGCCTACGATGACTGCCTAACTGTAACCAATGGTCTTCTGAAACGTACAGCCGATTTCAAAATAAAGGCGGGAAAACTTGTCGTCGCGGGAGATGGTTCCGGCGGAAATTTGGCAGCCGCCGTGGCTCATGCTACTAAAGGGAAAATACTCATGCAAATTCTTATCAACCCGGCCTTGCAAATCTTTGACTTCGAGACGCCGTCTTATCAAGACAACGTGAACACACTTCCGGGGTTGTCGTCTGCTTTTAGGAATTCCTATCACTGGTTGTCTTATGCTGGAATTTCCAAAGATTTTTTACAAATGGCGGTTCAGAATAACCATATTTCACAAAACAATTTGAATTCTGCCTTTAGTTCTTATCTTGATAGCAAAAAATACTTGCCTAGCTACCATGGTGTAACAAAAAGACAAACCAAACGAAATAGAAAATCTGCTAATATAATAGTAACGTCTGCTTTTAACGGTATAATTGCTGATCCTCGGATAGCACCAATGATGGCCGTTCATATCAAAGATGTTCCGAATGTGTATATGATTACGTCACAATATGACGTATATAGGGACGAGGCCATCATGTATACACACAGGCTGTTTGACGCCGGTGTGAAGGTTAAACTTGAACACTACCATGAGGCTTTTCACGGATTTTTCATGTTTTGTGGATATGGGCCAATCGAATTTGAAGTGAGCAAACAGGCGTTAAATACACTTGCTGATTTCTTGAACAATATGGCACAGTAAATAGTAACGTAATTAATTACATCACGAAATATGACGTCAATGACCATACAAGACGAAATTCATTTTTAACAAAAATAATTTAGACTATAAAGGTCCAAGAATCAAATAATAACATTAAAACTTGTTTGTTTTTCCTTCTTTGTCTGTTTAGAAAGGTAGTTGGTAATTTGAGCCACTCGAATCTTCTTACTGGAACTGAGCATTAATAGTGCTATATAAAGATACGTGGTCGTGGCACCAGTGGGGCTCGAACCAACAATCCTGGGTTGTGAGGAAGGCACTTACTTACAAAACTGCCGACCCATCTGTTCTAGAATCTCACCATTTTGAACATAAACTTCTTAATTTCTAAGAGCATGAATAGTGATTTAGGCCTGCTCGGGTTCCGTACTCATTGTGTGTTAACGGAACATTAGGTTTTTAACACTTAACCTTCTTTGTTCAGAATGTAAAATGGATAAAAATCGTTTAAGATAATGAGTGTAAGTAGGGTTAAAAGTAATGAACACGATATAAACGGATAAAGTTCATTAAAAAAATCTATTACATGTACATACGTTTTAAAAACTATTCATAACTATCAATTTTTAAATCATAAAGTATCTAATGAGATGAAAATTCGTTTTTCTGAGCTAATCTTGCCGTGACCAGTATTTGGTCTCCATCTAAAAACGCGTGATTCAAGAGATCACGTGCCGTTCCTCTGTTGCGTGCATCAACTACGAGACACGTGTCTATAAAAGATTTCAGTCCATCTGATAGTTTGTTATATTTCTTTATAGTTGGTCTACCATTTCTTTTTATAAGTTTCATAGCACGTGTTCCTTCCTCATGTATATATGGTGGTTCTCCGTCAATCATTTCTATAAGTGTTATACCATAGCTCCATATATCTATTTTATAATCATACGGTCTCCTGAAAAAAAAGAATGGTTACAGTGTTAGCAATATGGCAAATGTTTGAAAATTCTATAACAAAAATAAATGCTTAGATTTACACAGAATTTTATTTAACAATACTTATACATTAGACATATATTTAACCTGTCGCATAAACACGTAGTTTTGGCTTGCCAAACGATGAATTAGATTCTAAAAATATCTTTTTATTACTTTTCTGATACTGTTATACTTATATAGTTCATACATTAGCATAAACTTAAAAGAATTTAAAGGAAAATGTTTGAAAAGTTTGCCCAAAAGTATTTTAAAAATATTTTATCAATGTCATGTAGTTACATGCCAAGTGAATTTATTTAAGTGTAAGAAAGAAATGGAAGACTGTATATAAAATGTATTTCATACATACCTTGCCACCACTTCCGGTGCCATAAAGCACGGTGAGCCAACCAGTTCGTTCTTCTTGGCATTTTTATCATGAATGTAGCTGGTACCAAAATCCGTTATCTTTACTCTCCCATATATATCAACTAACACATTGCTGCTTTTGATATCTCTATGAACTATGTTCTCTTTATGGAGATAGTCCAAACCTTTCACACATTGACTAGATATGAAACAAATATGTCCTTCTTCTAACGCTACATTTCTTATAATCTTCTTTAGCGAACTACCATTCACGTATTCCATGACAAGCCAGAATTTCTTTACAGCTTCAACATAAATCGCATCTAGAGCGGTGACAACATTATCATGGTAGATCTTCTTCATTATGGTCACCTCGTTTGCCAACACATTAAATGGCTGTTTTTTAACCTCTAATATCTTGATGGCAACCATACAACCGTTCTGTTTCGTTTTGGCTAGAATCACGTGACCAAAAGTTCTGCAAATATAGTATAATGTGAAAAGCTGAATACATTGCGAATTAAGAAGATTTGTTTTAAAGATTTTTGGACACGGGTATCAAATATGAATGTACAATTGTCGTGGTAGCTATAACTCAGACTTTAGATATGCGCGTTAAACCATGACACCCATTGATGTTGATACATTATAAAGTTTTGACATTGATACATTGGTTTATAACAACAGTAGGATTTTGATAGTAATATACTGTATGATAACAACAGATAAATATATGACCTCGACATTGATGTCACACCAATAGACAAATAATAAGTTTATAATATTGATACATCACAACATCAGTAAAGTGTACATGTATGTCCTTGACATTGATCCGTCCAACTAACAAACTATTTGTCCTTCACATTGAAGCATCACATTAACAGACAAACTACATACTGATAGATCAAGCAAACGTCCTTGACATTGGTACGTCTCCCCAACATACAAAAAATAGTTAAAAACAAACATACTTACACTCATAGATAAATTGTGAACATACATGTAGATATAAAGGTGATACTTACCCTGAGTCTATTAACTTTATTGGAGAATATTTTCTTTTGGGATCATCGCCACTTGACAGATTTCCTAACAAAGTTTAACAAATAATGCAACATTACAGACGAGAAAAATAATGTGACATAGAGAACGAGGAAACATATTCACTAACGAACAACATGGTATAAAGTCATAATGTTTGGGAATATTTGATTGATCATTTAGAGCTTTAATGTAAAATGTTTAGCTTATATTGATCACAATAATTACGAGCATTGTGTTCGTTTATCAAGCCTTGTATTTTATATGCACCAAAATGATTAAAATGTATTTTTAACCCATGAACCAATAAACTTGTCCATTATTTAGGACAAAAGCATTTACTTGTACACGGTGCCTATACCAATACCAAAAAACTAAAAGTACTAAAACCAATACAAAAGACGGTCCAGGTTTTATATTTTTTCATAACTTTTTAAATATATTATTATTATATACTTATGAATGAACTATTGATGAAATATAATGCGTATTTTCATTTTTCGTATTTTCACAGTGAAATTTTTTTTTCACTGCTGTTAAACATATTTTCCGTATTTTCACTGGTGTCTTGCTGGACTACTTTCTTCTAATTTCTGCCAGTACACAATGTTTAAGGGAAGGTTTTTTCTATTAATACAGGATTTATTTTCATCGAGTGGTATGAAAATAAATATTTCGTGAGTGGCGGTAGCCCCTGAAATATGATAATTTTCATACCACAAGAATATCCTCTTTTTATCTTGTATGGAATAAAATGTAGAGCCTGCTCATTCTAGTGTGGAACCATGAAAAGAATGATTCTTGATCTTCTGATTGTTTGAGCACTCGCGGTTTTACTTTATGTAAAATACTGTTTTTTTTTACCCTTAAACTTTCTATGAATGTTTTATTTACTAGAAAGGGTGGGTTCAACACTTTACCCGATTCTATTAAAACAATGGAAGAAAATAAAATTTGAAGCGTCTATTGTACACCATGCATATCATAAAATGTTATGTGGTGTAGGCACAGTGATTCATTATTTTTACGGCAAATTTCAAATATGTGCTGACTGGATAGCCAAATTTGCTTAGGAAAATTTACATTCTGAGAAAATGTTTCGTTTACTTACTTAACATTTTGTGATACAACATGTCGACAGCTCTCGGCTGAACACGTGACTTTGTCTTCGACACATCCTGCAACAAAAAGATAATGTTCAATTAAATGTTTTGAAATCGTTTGTGAAAGAGATATTTAGAAATTACTTACACAAGAAAATACATGTATAAAGATTAATAACTTCTTTCAGTAAAGGTTATTTTAATGGCCTATATAAACTGTTATATGCAATATAACCCTCATTTTGCAGCTTGGGTTATATATACAAGCAGCCGTTTATATTTGGCCATATAACCTGTCAACAATTTTAATAAATAGTAAAATAGTTAATGGTTTTAACAACGAAAGTTTCAATTCAGAACAAAATGATATTATCTGAGATATATCACATGCAGCCGTTTATATTGGGCCATATAACCTGTCAACAATTTTAATAAATAGTAAAATAATTAATGGTTTTAACAACGAAAGTTTCAGTTCAGAACAAATTGATATTATCTGAGATATATCACATGCAGCCGTTTATATTGGGCCATATAACCTGTCAACAATTTTAATTAATAGTAAAATAGTTAATGGTTTTTACAACGAAAGTTTCAATTCATAACATAACATAACATAACATAACATACATGTATAGTTTATTAGCATAATATGTGTTTACATACATACATAGCCATTTACAATGCAAGAAGTACAGACATGAAATTTTTAACAGAAGAACATGATCAAACAATTCAAAAAGGATAAGTATATTGATAACATGTACATTCAGTCAATTTTCAAAAAACAATACAAATTTTCAACTGTGACTAGATCAGTAAATAAAAAATAACTATAAAAATTGCGTTTCTTTGATCATTATATAGTATGATAGTATAAAATACTAAAGAAATCGCCAGTGTATTTAAACATTGTTATTGGTATTTCGTAGTTGAAAGGCAGAATATATGAATTTAGCAACATTGATAATACATTTTGAGGATTCGCATGATAGAAGGGTTATGAACTTTTGGATTGATGGCCATCTACAATAATATTGTTTAAAGTATTTGGTTCTTAGTTCACTATATTTCGGGCATACTAATAAAAAATGATACTCATTTTCAATCATGCGCATATTACATTCTTGGCAAATTCGAAGGCGTCGATCGACATTTGTGTATCTTCCAGTTTCGATAGCTAGTTGATGAGAAGACAATCTAAATTTAGATAATGCTATTTGATATTTTCTTTCATTTATACATTCTAGATATTTTTCAAAATTAAAAGTATGTTTAAATAGACAGTATGAAGATAATCTGTTAGAGTTGTTGATATTAGTGTACCAAGATTGTTTATAAATATCAAGGATTCTCTGTTTGATAAAATAATAAGGGATGACTATATTAGTTTGATTAATCCATATATCAGCCAATCCTACTTCCTCTAGAATATGTTTTATCTGATAAGCCCAATTCATGTTGTTATATGTAATATTTTGATTTGCATCATTTGACAACATAAAATAAACCTTTCTTATTAATACATTGGTAGATGTCAATATTTTAATCCAGTATTTAATCATCAATAGTTTTCTATATATTTTCATAGGTACTCTTCCAACCTCACCATATAGCCCTTCTAGATTTGTAGATTTTTTTACACCAAGCACCTTACGTAAAAATTTACAATGTATCAACTCAATAGCTTTTGATTCGTGATTTCCCCATATTGGTGCATTATAATTTAGGACTGATCCAACTAGGCTATCGAACAGATTACATTTATCTTTATTGGTTAATTCTATTTGGTTGAAAATAATGAACAAGTTGTGTAAAGCATATGATGCGTTGTAGCAACGCTATATGTCGCAACGCCGCTATATGTCGCAACTAACGCTAAATGTCGCAACGCTGACGCTATATGTCGCAATCAACGCTATATGTCGCAATCGCCTACCGCTAAATGTCGCAACGTTGCCGCTATATGTCGCACAAAAATCGATTGCCGCTAAATGTCGCAACCCCTTGACGCTAAATGTCGCACTTGGTGGAAAAGTCAAATCAGATCAGGCACATTGACCGATTGGTTTCCATTTATATTTGTAACAAAACTACCTTTCACAAATACATATATCGCATTAACAGAGGTTATATCGGTAACAAAATGAAATTAAATATAAGCCGCGTGAATTCATATCGTTACTGCGTGATGTGTCTTATTACTATTTAATACAGTGGAACGGACAACAAACATCAAAATAGTTGGTAGCGGGACACTTGAAGGTCAAAGGTTAAATTCGTGTCCGCTCCATAACTTTTTCATTTATTATGCTAATTTGATCAAACTTCACACAAATGTTCACCGGCATTAGATATTGTGTCCCATGCAGCATCAAGGTCACACTTGAAGGTCAAATTCTTGTCCGCTCCATAACTTTATCATTTATTATGCGAATTTGAACAAATTTCAAACAACTTGTATATAACCCAGGCATTCCGCACCGTCGGTCTATTTGAAGCATTGTCCTTAGCACCACAACAGTTTTCTGACCAATGAAAAGCACACACGTCACAATAACATCAACTAGGTATAACAGAAACGTGATACTTTAATATAATATATATAATTATACAAGCGTAAATGGCTGCGAAACAATTGTTTGATGGAAAGGCATGAAAAACTGTTATTAAAAAGGCAGCTGTTGAGTTTTACCAAATTGCTTAACAGCATGTTAAAAGCAAAAAAATGTATTACTATGTTACACCACGAAGTTATAAATTACAATCTGATCTTAACATTTTACTGGGTTAAAGAGGAATCGTTACTATAGTATAATTTTAATAGTAAAATATTCCTTATCACACGGTTTATTTGATTGTAACGGGTCTGGTCAAAAACTTTAATGCGTTAAATATAAAAAAATATACATTTCTTCATAACGAACTTGTTTTCTTGTTTTAAGGCAAAAAAATTAGATGGATAGTTTCAGATATACAATTTTGTATTATGAGAATGTAACACATTTTGCGTGTTTGTCCAATACAAAACAGTGCCCCTTTAGATACAGACAGGTCAGGTAACAAGATTCTATGCGTCATCATTTCCTGAGCTTTATTGTCTAGTTCCATGATATTTAGTCTCGATTACCTACCCCCTACACAAGAAAATCTGAAATCGTCCAGTCCATTGGATGTTTACGGACATGAGAAAATACTTTCTTTTCATTTGACAAAAATGAAAAATAAAAATGTTTTGCAACAATGCGAGAAATTTAAAATGTGCCCCAAAGTGTTAAAATTATGTACGAGACATTTTTTATTTACTTGTGTTTTTATTGGGAACACGCAAAATAAATCGTGTAGTGCCGCAGTAAATCATGTGTGTTATATAAAATCATATAAGACTTGGATGCTTCGCAGCCGAATAAAGGCACTGTGACGCCGCATAAAAGTCCTGTCGCATAAACGGGTTCAAAGTCATTGATGCGGTGATTTTCCTCGCATAATAGTAGTGAACACGTTTATGCGGCTAGGCGCAATGCATAAAGCGAAAATTGCTTTTATGCGGCGCAGCAGTGCCTTTTTGCCACATAAAGAGGTTACACCTGAGTTTATATATTTTCAAGCCAAACAAAGTAAAGTATTAATATTTCAACAACTTTCGATAATAATTTATCCCTTAAACAGGGATTCCATTGTAAACTACTGTAGAACGGTTCTAACACATTAAAGTAAATGAATCTTATTTTATAATTTTCTTTCATATACAAAATCGAGTTACTGGTATGCCTAGATGCCTCTAAAACCTGCGCGCCTGTTCCGACAAATGCGGCGGCAAATTTTCACGATTTAGCGAAATCAATTTCACGACATAATAAAAATTTAGTACACAACCGAGCAAACTTGCGTGGCCTGTCATTAACAATTATCTCTTAAAAATGTTTAAAATGACGTTACGAATGATCATAAATGTCCGTCAGTCCAATAAATGGTAAAAAAATATGTCATACGCCGATTCAATTTTGATTGACACGTTGCACATTTACATAACCTTGGCAGGAGATAAATGTTTTTTTTTATATTTATATTATTTTTTAACGTCAAAAAACACCCCGTCACTAAAACAAAAAAGTCTTAAACATTTTAATTGTTTTTATGCGGTGACAGGGTACCTTTGTGCCGCATAAAAAGTATTTCTTTAATGCGGAGAAAATCACCGCATAAACGACTTTGAACCAGTTTATGCGGCAAGGCCGCAATGCGGCGGCACAAGGCACCGCAAGAAATAAAATACACGTTACTGTTATACAGTTAATAATGTGGTAAGATACCATGATTACAAAGTCAAATCAAAAAAATAAACTCAAGTTTGTGCAAATCATTTTAATCCATATTTTCCAACAAGAACAAGTATATTGAAATAATTGATACTGTAATGATTAAGTGAACAATAATATTCATAAACGACTAGTGTAACCGTAAAACTACATAAAACATTATATGGCACTAGAGTTTTAGTGCAGTTTGTGTGTTATCATTTTAAGAATAGTAAATTATAAACTTCATAAAAATTATGTACAAATCTCTCATTTGTAATCAAAGAAATAAAACAAAACTTTTGGAAATCAAACTTTCAAATATAAACGAAGTACAATGACGAAAACAAATTCTTAGTACTAATTGTGATATTTAAAAAAAAAATGAAATCCAATGTTATATCAGTTTCAGCTTTCACCTATCTCATGTATTTTAAAACATTATTATATGACCTACAAACGTTCATTGCCTTCTATACCATATATCTTCAATTTCAAACCAACATATGGCATCAACGCAAAGACGAAGGTGTAACCAGGCATTTGCCCAACGAGATTCTCTAATTATACGTCTTATTTCGAGAATTAGGCCAGTAAATCTTCCAAAATTCATAAGCAGTCTCCTTACACTAACAATATTCGGTGCATCACTCATAATATCCGGAGAAATGTAAATGCGCGGCATTTGTGCATCACACAGACTAACAACATTGCTTAGATGGCACCGATTAAGGACGTATCTTGGTGCAGGGTTGCCATTTAAACAGTATCGTATAATTTTAACCTGAACAAGAAGTGGTAAATCATTAAAAATAAATGAATTCCGAAGGTTTCTATGCCCTCGACGTCGAATATTTTCCACAAGGGAACGTAAAGTAAGCAAATCATTATTTACAGGCAGTTTACTATTATCAGTGTAATTTAGTCCATTATCTTTGTGTATATTTCCTAAGTTCAGCATTATCATCGTGATGTTGGAAATGTTTGATTATAATACAGTATATTATGGAACTCCATAAACGACAGCCAACTGTTGACTGCTTACTGCGCGCTGCTTACACTATTGCTTACTGCCTACCGTGCGTTGCGCGTATTTATTTGCAATGTATCAGCCAAAGGATTCCGACCGAGTTATCAACGATTTATTGCACAGACACGCATAATTATTTAGGTTTTGGTAAATTTAATGCTATAAGCAGTGAACAATAAGCAGTAAGCCGTCAGCAGTTGACAGTAGGCAATTGACAGTAAGCAGTTGACAGTAAGCAGTAGGCAGTTAACAGTAGGCAGTAGTTACTGTATGTGTATTTAAATTCGCGGAAGCAAATTTTCGCGGAAAGGTCCACTTTGGGGGTCTATACAAATATTCGCGCTAAATTGAATTCGCGGAGGTGACTGCCAAAAATCATAAATTCGCGTAGACCACTCAGGTTAAAAAAAGAAAAATTACTGTAATCATCGTGGGAGTTCACAGTTATTTTTAATACCAGGTGTCAAACAATACTCTTTTGAACAGAAAAAAGACGTTGTCTAGCGGACAGATTATAGAAAACAAAAGAATGCCCGTTAACGTGCATAATTTTTCACAGTTTGCGTCATAAACGTCTTAACATCTGATCAGAGCATGTTTTGGTTTTTCTGAACAAACAATTAAAAAAACATAAACATAAACGATTTTAAATGATCAATAACTTGGAAAACAAAACACAATTACACAGTAAAGATTTAAATAAAAAGTGTGAAAGCATATCACATACTGATATACATTGAAGTAGACAGTAAGCAGTCAACAGTTGGCTGTCGTTTATGGAATTCCATGTTTTAGTCCATGCATTTATTAATTTATCAGTGAATTCCTTTAAATGTTGTTCTAAGAATATATATGTACCTGTAAACTATTAAAGTAAATTAGGAAAAATACCAAGGGTCCAACCGGGTTTCGAACCACAGACCTCTTGGTCCGTAGACGGACACCTCAACCACGTCGTTAAAGGGTTAATCTAACAGCAAGGCTGATGGAAGTGGCCTATATACCTACAACCACTACACTCCTCCCCTCTTTACTTTTCAGAGCTAGCCAGCTCTCCTGAATGACACTCCCTGCTTACCGCATGAGTCTGTCAAACACTTCTGACACTATTAAAGTAAATTAGGAGGCCGAAAAATACCAAGGGTCCAACCGGGTTTTGAACAACAGACCTCTTGGTCCGTAGGCGGACACCTCAACCACATCGCTAAAGGGTTTACCCAACAACAAGGCTGTTGAAAGTGGCCTATATACCACTGCACTATATTGTGTTTGACCTTCAGAACGGCAACTATTTCGGTAACTGAATAATTTTATGACCATTATAGTTGTAATAGGTCGTCCATTTTTATTTTAATGCTATTAGCAGTGAATGATAAGTAGTAAGCCGTAAGCAGTTGACAGTAAGCAGTTGACAGTAAGCAGTAGGCAGTCAACATTTGGCAATTCCATAGTATATTGATTCATTAATGTTCCCAAAGAAATATTGAGATAAATATAAAAAGTTATGAAAGTATAACAATTCTGTCATAAACCTAAATCAATACACCGCATAGTTACGAATATCGATCAACAGATCAATTGGGTATTATTTAATACTTACATGTAGTAAAGCCTATCTAGTCAGATTATGAACAGGTAAAATTAAGATATAGTTCCCCCTTAGCATTAACAAGCGGTTTGCTCAGTTATGTCAAATAATAAAACAAATATACATGTATATCCAAATGTTTTTGTTGATGCATTTTGTGAGAAAGACATCCTCAAAGAGAAAGTTTGATCTCACACCTGGTCCGTGGTTGAGAACCAAATCCATCCCTTTTATCAAAAACCGTTTCTATGGCCAAACAAGGTTTTTGCCATAGACCGCGAAATACAACTTTTGTTTGCTTACTAGGATATGTTTTCATGTGTAAATGGTATAAACTTTAAATGTTTTAACATTGAGTTCCATCTGTTACTTTCCTACCAAGTGCGACATTTAGCGTCAAGGGGTTGCGACATTTAGCGGCAATCGATTTTTGTGCGACATATAGCGGCAACGTTGCGACATTTAGCGGTAGGCGATTGCGACATATAGCGTTGATTACGACATATAGCGTCAGCGTTGCGACATTTAGCGTTAGTTGCGACATATAGCGGCGTTGCGACATATAGCGTTGCTACATGCGTACTGTGCTATCCTGCTTTGCGTTCTGTACCAAGAGCCATTTTTAAATAGGTGTGTTCCTAAGTATTTGAAGGATTTAACAACCTCTAATTGCTGTTCACATAAAATAAAATTATGTTGTGTATGACGGCCCCTTTCGAAAATCATTACTTTTGTTTTGTCGGTGTTTATTTTTAGGCCCCAAGTATCACAATAAGCTTCTAGTTTGCTTAGTAAATCTTGAAGTGCATTTTGAGTGTTTGCAAAAAGTACCGAATCATCGGCAAAATTCAGAACAAAATGATATTATCTGAGATATATCACAAGCAGCCGTTTATATTGGGCCATTTAACCTGTCAACAATTTTAATTAATAGTAAAATAGTTAATGGTTTTAACAACGAAAGTTTCAATTCAGAACAAAATGATATTATCTGAGATATATCACATGCAGCCGTTTATATTGGGCCATATAACCTGTCAACAATTTTAATTAATAGTAAAATAGTTAATGGTTTTAACAACGAAAGTTTCAATTCAGAACAAAATGATATTATCTGAGATATATCACAAGCAGCCGTTTATATTGGGCCATATAACCTGTCAACAATTTTAATTAATAGTAAATTAATTAATGGTTTTAACAACGAAAGTTTCAATTCAGAACAAAATGATATTATCTGAGATATATCACAAGCAGCCGTTTATATTGGGCCATATAACCTGTCAAAAATTTTAATTAATAGTAAAATAATTAATGGTTTTTACAACGAAAGTTTCAATTCAGAACAAAATGATATTATCTGAGATATATCACAGAATTATTATTCTATTAGAAATTATCATGAAAGTAAGGATCATACCTTGTCTTGTATTTGAGAAGTTTTCGTCTTCGTCTCGTTATCCAACTCCACTGAATGACTAAAATTAAGAAAATCATATTTTATCACTTTGTATTAAAAAAAATCATGTTTATTTCTTCATAACATATGTTCGTATAACCCCACCCCCCTAAAAAAATAACGAAATAAAAAATCAGTTTTTAACATGCATTCTACATATAGTTCTAAACAAGTCGAAAAGTTTTCACATAGCAACACCTTTTTTGTGTAAACGCTACATACATGTACATGTTATTACTGTTATCTTTTAATATATTTTCATCAAAATTTTGATCATATTAAAGGATAATGCTGAAAGTGTTTTGGCATCTCTTTGGCAATTTAAAACGCGACTATCTAAACAGCTGTGCATTAAATACATGTATATATTTGTTTTATTTATTGAAATCTGGAATTTTATTTTTTCTGCACTTTACCTGGTATGTAAAGTTGATCGACGGTAAACACTGAGAATTCCGAACATCGAATCATCTTCATCATTGAAGTATAAGGCAGGACATTCTGAAAGTAAGATTTTCAATTTAACTTTTAAAGCTATAACATACAATTTTAGATAGGTATCCATCTCATTTGTGTTGTAATATCACGCGTGAAAATTCCAAAATGTTATTACAATTATATAAACATGCATGTTAACATACTATGACTAATATATATACATGTATAATAAGTAAATGGTGCGAGTTAACATTATGATGTCTTCCATCCACCCGAAAACTACCTATTACATTCTTATCCTTAATAATAATAAGAAAAAATTATTTACCTATTTTACCGCCTCTGTCCATATTCCTAGATTACAAGAATACCACTCTAAACATTTCTGATTTTAGTTGTTCGTCCATTAAACGTATTAATGTGTGCGGTTTAAAATCGGCTGATGCCTATCGCCTTGACGGTGTTTCTAACGAATGACGCTAACGTGACATCATAAACGCCAGACGTCATAAACGCTTAATGGTTTCGTACTCAAACTAATTCGTTATTACATCTCATTTTGGGTTTAACAAAACAAACCTTAAACCAGGGACACATTACTTTAACAATTGTCACAAAATAATAATATTTAAAAGCCTATTTTTGGTGAACTTTTATAGTTATAAAAAAGTCGCTCATTGCATGGCCAATTACTTGAACAATCTTTTTCACTTCTGTTTATTTATTTTTTTAATTTTTTTTTTTTTGCAATTAGTACAGTTTTAGTGATTAAGTATTAAATTTAGCCAAAATACTATTTGTTTACATTTTCCTACCTCTATGACAGATAATTTCATTATAAGAACTACTTTCCATTATTCCAACGTTATAACACCAATGTTTGCTCTTTCTAAAGTAGTAAAAACTTAGTTTCTGAGACATAATATGCCTTTAAACCATTCTTTGGTTTATCTATTATTATTTTTTTAGCTGTAAAATACGACTCAGTTATAAAAATTGAACTTGTCTGACCATTATATAATTGGTTGCGATTACAGCTCAAGAAATTCCACGTGACTTAAAAGAGGAATTCTCGAATCAGATAAAATTTAATGACTGTTTATTATTATAAACTATTAGAATTTAGGACTCCTACTCGATCAGTTGTAGTAAGTATAATATATCATTGACGATTCTACTAGTATAGGAAGATATAAAAGCATTGTCCTATACACCAAGTATGATTTAATTCATATTGTCACCATAATAATTTAATAAGATTAAAAATTACTTGCTGGAAATCGAAATCTTAAACCACCTTATTGTATTGCTTCATGTATATACTACTATTAAATTGTCTACTACAAAAGATATCAATATATAATGCATATTTTATTCTTTTTGAAAGACCCTGCTGGTCTATCATCGGTTTGGAAGGAAAAACAAAGTTGAAACATAAGTATGCTAAGTGGTATTTTTGGTAAATATTGCATTTTTTTACGACCTTTGCCGATATACAGGTTTGTAACAATACAAAACTGTACTATCTTCATATCTAAATTGGACCTGAAATAGCTGATTTTATAATCAAATAACCTATATCAATATGTAGACGGCAAATAAATGCCTTTACTGCTTCCGATCAATGCATTATTACGATTTTGTCCACCGAGAAAGAGCGATCGACATTTATAGTTCATTTATGGATTTTTTTAAAACTATATATCAAATGTCCAATGAAAGAAAGAAAACGAACTACTCTATAAATATTTTTTTACATATTTGATAAACGAAAATATGTTTCATGTCTTGCGATTTAATCCCCCGCTACTTCCGGTCACTGTACAAATTTTGAGCCTACATGTATATACAAACATATATAATTATATTTTAACTTTAACCTTTCTTGCGAAAACAGGAAGTAGAGACGTGTATACACTGTTTTTGATATATACATGTTAACTATATACAAATATTTAAATACTTCATCAATACCGAGAAAAACTCGTTTAGTCTTCTTCAATTACCGCTTAAGTTTAAATAGGGGTGCTCATTATTTCTACCCCATTTTACTTTGCATCGACCTTGTACTGGCAAACGCACAAAAATAAATAGACTGAAATAATTATAAAGTAAATTATAATGTAGAGCCATGCATTCATAATGAATGCGATTTTGAAGTTAGCTTTCAGTGCATTGTACCTTAATATAGAATTAGTAAGTATTTTTCAGTAACGACGCAGATTGTGTATATGAAATTACCAGCTCGTTATAATCAGTGAAAATTGAATACACTGTACACGTTTTTTTTTCTGTAGGCGTCCTGTTTTATAAAAAATAATCGCTCGCAGTTTGGAATATGTTCTGTTTATATCAAATATGTGATATTTTAGAAATACTTTAAAATGTGTGTATTAACATTAATATATGAGCCGCGTCATGACAAAACTAACATAGTGCGTTTGCGACCGGCATGGATCCAGACCAGCCTGCGTATCCGCGCAGTCTGATCAGGATCCATGCTGTTCGCTTACAAACTCTATAACAAGTAGAATAACTGATAGCGAACAGCATGGATTCTGATCAGACTGCGCGGATGCGCAGGCTGGTCTGGATCCGTGCTGGTCGAAAACCCATTATGTTGGTTTTGTCGTGACGCGGCTCATATATTTAATCAGGCGATTTGAGTAGATAAATTTACCTCAAATGTGCGATAGCACATGGAATATATGTCTTAAAAGTGTAACAATCTGCATTCGTAAGTATGTATTATTATTATTAACCATAATCAATTTGTATACTATGTATTATCGCTATTTTACCCATCGATGATTTTTTTTGAAAAGAATCGTTTTCTATTTCATAGAATAGGATTTGACCCCCACCTCCGTCGGTCCCGATTAACCGGCATTACGGAAAAAACAGACAATAACTTTATCGTCTGGCCGGACTTGATTTAAATCTACTGCTATCAAAATTGAACTATTAATCATGCCAAATTATTCAATGTGACGTATCTGCTAATATAATAGTAACGTCTGCTTTTAACGGTATAGTTGCTGATCCTCGGATAGCACCAATGATGGCCGTTCATATCAAAGATGTTCCAACAGGCGTTAAATACACTTGTTGATTTCATGAACAATATGGCACAGTTAATAGTAACGTATTTAATTACATCACTAAATATGACGTCAACGACCATACAAAAGACGAAATTCATTTTTAACAAAAATAATTTAGACTGTAGAGATCTAAGAACCAAACAATAACATTAAAACTTGTTTGTTTTTCCTTCTTTGTCTGTTTAGAAAGGTAGTTGGTAATTTGAGCCACTCGAATCTTCTTACTGGAACTGAGCATTAATAGTGCTATATGAAGATGCGTGGTCGTGGCACCATTGGGGCTCGAACCAACAATCCTGGGTTGTGAGGAAGGCACTTACTTACAAAACTGCCTACCCATCTGTTCTAGATTCTCACCATTTTGAACATAAACTTCTTAATTTCTAAGAGCATGAATAGTGATTTAGGCCTGCTCGGAGTCCGTACTCAATGTGTGTTAACCTAACATTAGGTTTCTAACACTTAACCTACTTTGTTCAGAATGTAAAATGGATAAAAATCATTTCAGATAATGAGTGTTGGTAGGGTTAAAAGTCATAAACACAATAACGAATAAAGTACACTAAATTTTTTTCTATTACATGTACATACGTTTTAAAAAATATTCATAACTATCAATTTTTAAATCATAAAGTATCTAATGAGATGACAATTCACTTTTCTGAGATAATCTTGCCGTGACCAGTATTTGGTCACCATTTAAAAACGCGTGATTCAGAAGATCACTCGCCGTACCTCTGTAGCGTGCATCAACTACGAGACACGTGTCTATAAAAGATTTTAGTTCATTTGATAATTTGTTGTATTTCTTTATAGTTGGTCTACCATTTGTTTTTACAAGTTTTATAGCACGTGTTGCTTCCTCGTGTATATATGGTGGATCTCCGTCAATCATTTCTATTAGGGTTATACCATAACTCCATATATCTATCTTATAATCATACGGTTTCCTGAAATAACGAGAACGGTAACAGTGTTAGAAATATGGCAAATGTTTGAAAATTCTGTAACAGAACTAAATGCTTATGTTTTAACAAAGTTTTATTTATAATACTTATACATTGTACAAGATTTACCTTTAGCAAAGACGTTTTCATTGGATAATCGTGACGTTTATGTATATACACTAATGCTGTTAGTTTTTTTTAAATAATTTTCTTTTCTTTTTTTCAAGTATAGTATTTGTGCTTTATCATATTTTTTTTAACTTATGAAGACTTTCGACAGGTTATATGACCGTGTGTATACTCGGGTTATATAAATTTACAGCCGTTAATATATATAAACCGTCTAAAATCTTTATACACGGAGTTTTGACTTGCTAAACGGTGAATGAGATTCTAAAAATATCTTTTAATTTCTTTTCTAATACTGTTTTCCTTTAATAGTATATAAAGAATCATAAAATAAAAAGTATATAAAGAAAAAGTTTTAAAAGTTTGCCTGAAAGTGTTTTAAAATATTTTATCAATGTCATGTAGTTACTTGTCAAGTGAATTAATTTAAGCATTATAAATGAAAACGGAATACTTTATAAAGATATGTTTTATATATACCTAGCCACCACTTCCGGTGCCATATAGCACGGTGAGCCAACAATTTCGTTCTTCTTGGCATTTTTATCATATATGTAGCTGGTACCAAAATCCGTTATCTTTACTCTCCCATATATATCCACCAACACATTGCTGCTTTTTATATCTCTATGAACTATGCTTTCTTTATGAAGATAGTCCAAACCTTTCACACATTGACTAGATATGAAACATATATGTCCTTCTTCTAACGCTACATTTCTTACAATCTTCTTTAGCGAACACCCATTCACGTATTCCATGACAAGCCAGAATTTCTTTACAGCTTCCACATAAATCGCATCTAAAGCGGTGACAACATTATCATGGTAGATCTTCTTCATTATGGTCACCTCGTTAGCCAACACAGTAAATGGTTGTTTTTTAACCTCTAATATCTTGATGGCAACCATACAACCGTTCTGCTTCGTTTTGGCTAGAATCACGTGACCGAAAGTTCTGCAAAATAGAGTATAATGTGAAACGTTGAATACATTGCAAAGAAAAGAATATTCATTTTTAAGATTTATATTCTTTATTTGAATACTGATATCAAATATGAATGCACATTTGTCACTAAGAAATGTGCGCAAAACCTTTTTGAACTACACTTGACGGCGAACCATGACACCAACCGCACTTACAGACAAATGTTTAAGTTTTTGTCATTGAAACATTAATGCATCCCAACACCTCTTGACATTGATACATGATAACAACAGAAGAATATATGGCCTTGACATTGATATGTCACAAAAATGGCAAAATAATAAGTTTATGATATAAATACATTATAACATCAGGAAAATGTACATGTACATATGTATGTCCTTGACATTGATCCGTCCAACTCACAAACTATATCCTTGACATTGAAACATCACACCTATAGACATATTATACATCCTAAAAGCTGATGATCAAACAACGTCCTTGACAATAGTAAGGCCACCCAATTGACAAAAAGATTTAAAAACAAGCATACGCTCATAAATAAAATGTGAACATAGAAATATGGTGAGACTTACCCCGAGTCTATAAGCTTTATTGGAGAATATTTTCTTTTGGGATCATCGCCGCTTGACAGATTTCCTAAAATAGTATAACAAATAATGCAACATTATAGAACAAGAAAAATAAAACGTGACTTAGAGACCGAGAAAATTTTAAAATAACGAACAAGATAGTATAACCTATCAAAGTTTTGAAAAATTTGAGTTTTAAGGCAAAATATCTAGTTTATTATGATCACAATAATAACGAGCATAATAATTATCGCCCAAAAAGCTAAGTTTTTAATATGCACCAAATTGTTTTAATTTTATTTCTAACCCTTAACCCGCTAAATATCCTAAATGGAAGGACAAGACCATTAATTTACACGGTACCTGTACCGCGTGACTTTTTGTGATCTGCGTGGGGCAAAAAAAACCAATACGAGAGACGGTTCAGGTTTTATTTTCTGTTATAACTTTTTTAATATGTCATTATTTTATATTGAATAAAATGCATAGCTTAAAAAGTTTCCTGGAAAAAAATTGTAAAGTGAAACCGCGTGAATATCTGCATGATTGTTCAAATACGCGGCAAAAACATCCTATGTATGTATGTTACCCACTAGACTGATAGGGCTCAACACTTTATCCGATTAAAATAACCAAATATAAAAAAATGGAAGAAATTAAAATCTTGAGCGTCTGTTATTACGAAAATCATAAATGCCACGTGATGTAGGCATCGTAATTCATTATTTTACGGCAAATTTAAAACATGACCAAATTTACTAAGGAAAATTTACATATCATTTACTTACTTAACATTTTGTGATATAACATGTCGATAGCTCTTGGCTGATCACGTGACTTTGACTTCCTTTGAGTAGGTGTAGATATATCCTGAAACATAAAAGATAACGTTAAAATAACATTTTAAAATCACTTGTGTAGAAGATATTTATAAATTTCATGTTTAACAAAAGAAAAGATAAATACATTTATATATATTATCAAACATTGAATAAGATAAAGTAGTTTCAATTCAGAACAAAATGGTACTTTTAATTATTTATCTATTAGAAACTGATCATGAAAATAAAGGATCATACCTTGTCTTGTATTTGAGAAGTTGTCGTCTTCGTCTCGTTATCCAACTCTGCTGAATGACTAAAATTAAGAAAATCATATTTTATCATTTTGAATTAAACAAAATCATGTTTAAATTTCTTCACAACATGTTTTCGTTTAAAACAAAACCCGACCATAACATTCATTCTACATAATTATTATAATTCTTAACAAGTCGGAAGGTTTTCACATCGCCACATATTTATTATGTACACGCTATCTTGGTATACATTTTCATCAAAATTTTGATCATATTAAAGGATAAAAAGCTGAAAAGGTTTTGGCATGTCTTTGGCAATTTAAAAGCAGCTGTGCGTAAAATATATATTTGTTTTATTTGTTGAAATCTGGAATTATATTTTTTTCTGCACTTTACCTGGTATGTAAAGTTGATCGACGGTAAACACTGAGAATTCCGAACATCGAATCATCTTCATCATTGTCGTATAAGGCCGGTAATTCTGAAAATAGATTTTCAGTTTTACTTTTTAAGCTATATCATACAATATTAGTTAGGTAGTCATTTCATTTGTGTTTGAATATCACACTTGAAAAATCAAAAAGATCATTATAATTTTATATACATGAATGTTAACTTACAATGAATAATATATACATGTATAATAAGTAAATGCTGCGAGTTAACATTATGTTGTCTTCCATCCACCCGAAATCTACCTATATCATTATTTTCCTTATTAATAAAAACAATATTTCATTTACCGCCTCTGTCCATATTCCTAGATTACAAGAATATCAACATAAACATTTCTGATTCTAGTTCTTCGTCCATTAAACGTATTATTTTAGTTGTTTAAATGTATGCGGTTTAATATCGGCTGATGCCTACCGCGTTGACGCTGTTTCTAACGAATGACGCTACGGTTAGTGACATCATAAACGCCCTGCGTCATATACGTCTTATTGGTTTCGTACTCAAACTACAATGTAATTCGTTATTACATCCCATCGGGTTTTAACAAAACAAACCTTAGAACACAGACACATTACCTTAACATGTGACACAAAATTAATTTAACTTTAAAAATCATTATGCCTAGAAAATGTTGTTTTTTTTTAATTTCACAAAAGCTTTATCATTTTTGGTGTATTTTAATAGTTTTAAAACAATTTGTTCATTGGCCAATTACTTGAACAATCTAACAATCTTTTTCACTTCTGTTTTTTTTTTGGCAATTAGTACAATTATAGTGAATTTAGTTTTAATTTAGTCAAAATTCTTTTTGTTTACATTTTCCTACCTCTATGACAGATAATTTTATTGTTAGATCTTCTTAACCCAGACATGAAGCATCTAAAATGCTCTTCAACCATTATTCCAACGTTATAACACCAATTTTTGCTCTTTCTAATGTAGAATTTTTTTTAAAGTTTCTGAGGCCGAATGTGCCTTTAACCATCCTTTCATAATTAATTATTATGCTGTGAAAACCTTGAACTTTTCTGATCACCATGAAATTGTAGTCGTTCCACGTTAACAGAGGAATTCTTAAATCAGACGAAAGAAGTAGTATAAAACAAATTGATGTTTATTATTATAAAGTATTTGAATATTGTGAGTAATATAAGACTCTTACTCGATCAGTGGTATTAAGTATAATATATAATTGACGATTCTACTAGTACAGGAAGAAATAAAAGCATTGTCCTGTATACCAAGTATGATTTAATTCATATTGTCACCTAATTTGCCGTCTATATATATTGATATAGGTTATTTGATTATAAAAACAGCTATTTAAGGTCCAATTTAGATATAAAGATAGCACAGTAATGTATTGTTACAAACCTGTTTATCGGCCAAGGTCGTCAAAAAAAATGCAATATTTACCAAAATACCACTTAGCATACTTATGTTTCAACTTGTCTTTCTTTCTATTTGATTTTAAGAACACGATGATAGACCAGGGTCTTTCAAATAGAATAAAAATATGCATTTGATGTTGATATCTTTAGTATTAGACAGTTTAATCGTAGTATATACATTAAGCAATTAAATAAATGGTTTAAGATTTCGATTACCAGCAAGTAATTTTTAATCTTATTAAATTATTATATGCCTTTACTGCTTCCGATCAATGCATTATTACGATTTTGTCCACCGAGAAAGAGCGATCGACATTTAAAGTTCATATGTGGAACTTTTTAAAACTATATATCAAATATCCAATGAAAGAAAGAAAACGAACTTCTCTATAAATAACATTACACATTCGATAAACGAAAATACGTTTCATGTCACTGTACTTTTTTTTAGCCTACATGAATATACAAACATGTATAATTATATAATTTAACTTTAACCTTTCTTGCGAAAACAGGAAGTAGAGACGTGTATACACTGTTTTTGATGTATACATGTTAACTATATACAAATATTTAAATACTTCATCACTAACGAGAAAAACTTAGTCTTCTCCAATTACCACTTAAGTTTAAATAGGTTTGCCAATTATTTCTACCCCATTTTACTTTGCATCGACCTTGTACTGGCAAACGCACAAAAATAAATAGGCTGAAATAATTATAAAGTAAACTATAATGTAGAGCCATGCATTCATAATGAATGTAATTTTGAATTTAACCTTCGGTGCATTGTACCTTGATTTAGAATTGGTAAGTGTTTTTCATTAACGACGCAGATGGGGTGTATGAAATTACCCGCTTGTTAATCAGTGAAAATTGAATACATTGTACACGTTTTTTTTCTATGGGCGTCTTGTTAAAAAAAAAAAATAATCCTCGTAGTTTGGAATATGTTCCGTTTATATCAAATATGTAATATTTTAAAAGATACTTTAACATGTGTGTGTTGAACAGTGAAAGAAGTACAAAAAAAATGCAGATTTATTGCATTTAAGACGGTGATAAATGTTGTGGAAAGTAAAATAAAGTCACTTCTTTTCTATTCTATTCAGTTTTGTCGAAAGTTTTAAGGGTATTTATTAAAAAAAAACCGATTTATAAATAGATTAGACTGTGTTACTGATCAATTACTGATACATTATTATATATATAATCAGGCGGAGTAGATAAAATCACCTCGAATATGCGATAGCTAGCACATGGAATATATGTTTTATTAATTAAAAGTGTAACGCTCGCATTCGTAAGTATGTATTATTATAATTAACCGTAATAAATTTTTATACTATATATTATCGTCATTTTACCCATCGCTGATTTTTTAAAAGAATCGTTTTCTATTTCATAGATTTGACCCTCACCTCGCATTACGGATAAAAACGGACAATAACCCTATCGGACTGGCTTTAAATCTACTGGCATCAAAATTAAACTATTTATCATGCCAAATTATCCAATGTGACGTATCAAAGATTTAACGCTCAAAATGACTTTACTTCAATAAAATTTACTTCAATACTTTTTTTCAACGACGATGGCGACGACGACGACAACAACAACTATGAAAACAGCAACAATAACAACAACAACAACAACAACAATTACAACAACATGTGTTAAGCATAACAATGTTTTCAACCACAATATACATTACGTGAAATATTCAAAGTGCGCTTTCTTTAAACTAAATCTTTATATTGATTTTTTATACAATATCACCTTCAATAAATAAGGATTAATTAATCAATTATTCGATATTTTCACTGTCATTCCAGTTATATAACTGTTTAGATACGTACTATTAAGGATTAATTCAAAGCACCACACTGTCATTTAATCTTAAATTTATGTATATTTTGTAAATTACCTTGTACAACGGACGGATCGCGTTTATGCACGCAGGGCCAAATCCGTGATCGTATTAAACTTGGGGTAATATAAGTGTCAACCGAATTAAATTAGATTTATGTTTAATAGATCAAGAAATCTTAAATACAATGCCCGTTCTTAATTGAGGGCAATTGTATATTCTCTATCAATGGCATTTTGTTTGATAAACAACGATATATAAGCTAGGTTAACCAAACGAATATTTTAGGATATTTACATTCTGCTGTTTAGTGTGGAGAAACGATAAACAAAAAATTAAATTGTATTTAAAAAAAGTTTGGTTAAAATGGTTCAAACTTTGGACATGTTAAAACTTTAAATAAATAAAGACCTTATTGTACACTTTTATGCGGAATAACCTTATAAGGTAAACTTTCAACACAGGTATGTAAAATCTTATTTTAAACATAACGTTTTTATATTTGTCTTTATACCAAGTAAGAGAGGCAAATAATTAGTATTTTAAACACAGTTGACGTTCTTTTCCTTAATAAACTGAAAGAAAGATATATTGAATATTTTCCCGATGCCATCATCTATAATCTTCAATCCCTCAAAGATTCCGTTAAGCCCGTCCTTTCGCGTATTTTTAAAATAGATTTACTTTATCATTTTGTCATTTATTAATGTAAGTGACTAATAAACAAGAACGGCAACTCTATATTTTCATATTCAAATGCAAATCAATGTATCAGATTTTTCAACTATTACCTTAAGACTTATAATATACAAGGTAATGTATTTTCACATTGATGTTGGCAAAACTTGTGGCCCAACCAATATTTCAACATTTCCTCCAAACTGTTAACATACATGCTTCATCTTCTTTATTTTCTCCATCATTTTGTCCGAAAATAAATTATTCTTTTCCTTTACAATTACATTAATATTTCAAACCAAGGAATAAGGAACTCATATAATGTTCTATAGATTTATTGAAGTTAACTATTTCTAATGATGATTTCATGATTATATTACAATAATACATCACACAATATAATATCGTACACGTATTCAAGGGTTAATGAGGGTCCATCCGACCTATCATATCTAAGGAACGCCTTAAATAGTACATAACATTCCTATATATAGATTCTATAATTACAGTAAGTCCATTATAAGCATACGACACGTGTGATCAATTATAAATCAATCAATCAATACTTTGCAATTGGCGCAATTCTTGTGAATATAGCCCTCCAAAAAAATTAAAATGTAGACGGAAAACAGCCATTTTAGAATAGTTATTCGGGAATACAGGTTAATCCGACTGCCACAACCCTACCCATTATTTATTGTTTATAACAATGATAAAGACTAAAAAATCCGACAGTTACAGCGGCAGTGCATTCTATACATGCACAAAATTGTCATATAATTTTCGAAAGTTATGAAAATATATCAAAAATTTGCACGAGAATATGTATTTCGCTTCAAATAACCTTGTAATTCGACCTATATATAAAACCATAGGAACTCTGGAACAGGACCGCATATTGCGGCGCATAAATCCGAATCCGTACCGGCTTGACATTTAGTTTGTCCGACCTTTGAATATCTTTTCATATTATGCGAGCGGGTGGTCTTTAATTATCTAATCTCAATTTAATATAATCTGCTAATTTAAAAATCAGTCAAATTTACGGTATATTGAAATAATACCGTAAAATTTGACCAGTTTTAAAAGAGACAGATTGGGTTAAATTCATAATATATTTTTTGAGTCCATACACTCGGATAATACTAAAAGATATTTAGATGTAGCAGAAACGTTTTTAAAAACCGTTACACGATCGAAAATATACGCCGCAATCTGCGGTCCCGTCCTCGAGTTCCTATGTATAAAACGACTATTTAATATCTTCTGCTGACCACAATGGCAAAGATATGTGCATTATGAACCCAAGGGGCCAGTTACACAGATGGTCGGTCCCAAATCGGTCATTTAATATTAAATTATTCGCTGATATGATCGGTTGTCATGCGTGATTTTATTTCTGGTTTTCTGTGTAAACGGCCATCGGTGACAGAAAGCAAACTCAAACGGGGTTTGGTCGGTGATAAAAATTCTGAAATACTATCGGTTTTTATCGTTTGTAAATTGGAGCTAAATCGGGCGTAACGCTGATTAATCGGTGTTTGATAGCTAGTCATTAGTGGTTAAACACTTTCCGTCAGATATGGCAGGTGATTTCATATTTGGTTATCTTTGTCCGATCGGCGATTTCGGCGATTAAGAGCTTGCATATCTCGTGATATAGGTTGCTTTCTGTTATTTGTAAAATATTTTCAAAGATCGAGAATTTTAAACATGTTTAAAATCCCAAATCGTTAATTTTTCACCGAAGAAACTTATCTTTCCCCAATAGCAGTACATAGTCGGAAAACAGGTGACCAATAGGTGATATCGGTGTTAAATACGTTGTCATCGGTTCAGTTCATAATTTGGCTAGAAAAACTACCGATTAATCACTGATGGCTCTGTGTAACTTGGGTGTTACAGGAAACAATAAAAATATACATGTATAACGCTAGAACTTTCATCTACAATTCAATATATCATTGATAGATATATCATATTTAAACCAATCGAACCGTGCGTTCTGTATGTCACGTAGTAAACCTCGGCTGATTTAAAACCCCTTTGTTAACCCATGAACGCCTCGTGCCTCGTGCATTTTTTCTAACCAAGTGTAAACCATACTACCAAAAGGGATACAAGTAAATGGTTTCCTGCGGTGAACATTTTTATGATATAAAGATATTTCATTTAACTATTTTCAACATTATTTGGGGGGTTGGGGGGGGGGTAAATAAACGTTTGTATCAGCAATATAGTTGACAATTGAATTAACGATCAATATAGAAGACGGTCTTTGGTAACTGGTGACCGTTGAAGACCGGAGAAGGTCGAACATAAAACAATTATTTCTTTAAAAGAAAATGATTAAATAGGCCTAACATATTATGAATAATTCCGAGCAAAAAATAAATAAAGTAAACACACAAGATTACGCAGAAAATATCTTTATTTATTATGGCAGATGCCACTACGAATATTTTAATTTGTAGATTTTCAGTATAGACAATTTATTTAAAATTTGAGATAGATATTTAAGATAGATATTAAAGAAAAATTGATAATTTTCAAACACACCATTCAAGTTTTTTCCACCTTAAACGGTAAAATAATTATAGAAAATGAGAAATATCACGCAATAGTTTTTTGTTCTTACTTAGGTGTACTTCGGACTAATTCCCTACAGGTAAATCTGTAACGTACCGGCAAACGTTATTTAGCTAGATTACCAAGTACCAAAAAGAAAAATTAGAATTATAAATTATTTGGATATAACGTAACAGCGCGGGTGACACTGTTGTACCAACGGTTTATTGATATTATTTTTCATTTATCTTTCCTCCGAACAAAGAGAGAAAATTGCCTATAAGATTGATCTGGATTTTTTTCCATAACAATAAAAAGAGTGAGATAATTTTCACTATATATATATTTTTCAATCAAGGCAAAGGTATGGAAGCCTTGGAGGGTCACTTTTGAGTTTCGACTTACGGATGTTTTACTTTTGACTTTCGACTTTTGACTTTTGATTTGTGACTTACGTCTTATGACTTTTGGCTAACTCATTTTACACGTGCTTTTGAAAGCAGCAACTTTGGTTTCAGGTATGTTTTTAAACGTTTTAAATAATTTCATTGCGATTTGTCATGGTTAAGGAGGGAATTTAATGTTATTTGGTATACTCCCATAGTGGTAATATATCACAGACTTTAATTCCACAAGTGTAACTGTTTGTTTTGTGCAATCTGCTGTGTTCTAAATATATTCATTATAATAGTGCTTATACATTGTTGTCCTCATCACAAAATCTGTCCATAAGTAACAAACAGAGTTTTACAAGTAGACAGGGTCTAAAAATGGCATGGTGCACAGTATTAAACATGTATCGCAATTCAGCATTTTATTGAGCTAACACAGACTCAGTGTTTCTCTAAAGTACTTAGATAGTGTTGACCAATTTCATAAAGAACGGCAAGTGCTATGTTCATACACACAAGTACAAAGTTAACTTATAATTGTGCTCGAGCACCATATGCATTTAGCATCAATGTCTAATTTTGTTGTATATTTTAACAAATGAGAAAAGAACACTTAAGAGTAAACATAGATATAGGACCAGTTAGAACAAAATATCCTACTAGCATTTTAAATGCTATATTTTTTCGCACCTATCAATCTTTAAAAGACGGAGCTAAGAGATTTACCCATTTTATATACTATGAATGTATAAAGATTTAGATAAAAGATAAACTCTTATTTCAGACACAACTACTGGATTCTACAGATCCGATTGCTGGTACTCGAAGCATTGTAGCTGGAAAAAGCACATCTAACCAACGCATTGAGAAGTGGTGGTGTACATTACGACAAAATGGATCCAATGGTGGATTAATTTTTTTCCAAGACTTACGCGATACATGTGTATTTAATGATTTGGACCCGATACAATGTGAGAACTAAAAATTGTGCTTCATGGACCTCATACAAACCGAGTTAGACCTGATTGCACATGAAATAAGGCAGCAAACCAGTTCTTCTGCTATTTGTGGTAAACCTGACACAATGTTTTTTACCAGGTCTGTATGAAACTCACGACTTCGGCAATGCAGTTAACTTGAGAGACGTATATATTTGCAAAGAACATATGTGTTCACACCCAAAAAGACAATGTGAGAAATTCGTAGAATTAGCACCCCTTCTGAAGCCAAATCTATTGATGCCATTGGACCCTGATTTAGCACTACAACTGTGTACCGAGTTGAACGATTTAATTTTGAGAATATATTTAATATAAATACGCTTTGAAACGACTAATACTGATTTTGTTTCGTGTTATTGATATATACTAGGTTACAATAGGTTAAGTTTCAAAAATGATGTTATAAAATCATAAAGACGATAGTCTACCATTTCACTTCATTATATGGTTGTTTTAAGATATTGGTTTGTAAATATTTAGCAAATTACAATATATTTGTAAATTATCATTTAACTTATAAGCACTCTAATTTGCATTATAAAGCATTGTAAAATTGACAACATTGTTGAGTGGTATACCTAAAGGACACTTGTATGCAAAATTTAAGCAAAATTTATCGTACGGATTTGGAGTTGTAGGCATTATTATGAGTCAGATCATATACATTAATAAGGCTTTTTAAAAGAAATACATGTATTGAAAGTCTAAAAAAAATATCCGTTTACATCTAATCATTATCATGTTTTGATAATATATCTATATTATATATTATATCTATATATCTAATATATAATCACGTTTTGCAAGTGTTGTTTGTTTAGATGA